CCCACAAACATATTGTAAGCTTGTTATCAGAAACCATCACTAAGAAAGCAAAGGAAATGTTCCAATATTAAACTCACATCCAAATTATAAAAAGACGGTAGGAAACAACACCAGGCCTTTGAGTAGGAAAGTGTTACCTTAAATTATATTGTTTAATGGTTATTTTTTATTTTGGAAAAATGTTGCAACCTGACGCCATTTCAGCAGTTGTGTACAAAGTCTATGGAGAGTCAAGAAAATTTTTAAGTATTTCCTAACAAATTTGGAAATGTTTCTCAGTCCCAGATTCATGTCTTATTTCATCATTTTTTGCAATGACTGACCTTCATTGAGATGATATGTGAAGAAAACAGTGGCATCAGGTTGCAACATTTTTGTTCCTTTATTTTAACTGGGTAGCCCATTCAGTGGAATCCACTCCACTGGTCTCCCATTATTAATGTCATTTATTTATTGTCAATATGATTATGAAGAAATTACAGTTTTAGAATTAGGCCTAGATGAGGGAGGAAAACCCAAGAAGAATATTCTGAGGAAAACCATTTTTCCATTCACATAATCGATCAGGCACGTCAGGGGGCAGGAGTTGCTTACTGTAATCAGCTGACATAACAAAAGAGGCAGAAAATGCAAACAATACAACAAAAATACTTACGTTCCCAATACTTCCTTGAGGTCATATTTATCCTCCAGCCTTGGCCGGTTGGGCTCACGCCCTCGCTTTTCCCGGTGGCCGAAGAGCGGCATGATGTCTGCCGTTCGTTCTGCTAAGTCCTGGTACTGGAAGCAACGGCAACAAAAGTCCGAGAAAAAAATATGAATCCCACAAAGGCCTCAGAATCGCAGAAGATTATTACGCCAGCTGATGCTGAAGAAATCAACTAATGAACAGCTAGTGACTGTGCCGAGTAAGTAGCTGTCATTCGAACACACGGGGCATATCACGTCTATTACCTCTGCGTACTGGGTAGCTAGTGCAGTGTGGCGCACGTACATTTGTGTACACACAAAACACATGTGACCTACTATTTGGTTCCAGTAGCCCAATTTGTGCTCCCATGTGCACAATGCAACAGCAGACGTTGGACACTTGGAGCGCCCATCGCGGCTTGAAAAGCGCCCAAACGATTCGCGTGCTGAATGGACTGGAATAGACCATTTTTTTAATGGGTTATCATTAATAATAGTGATTTGAAACCATTCAAAAGCTACAGTTTGTCATAACTAAATATTTTAGATAAACGTGTAGATATCCTTAAATTGTGCAAATTCAATCAAGTTGCGTCCAGACAATGCAACGGATCGAAAGATATTTGGGTAATTGTATGTAAACAATCCCCATGCAAAATAGTATCATGTTCCAAGAAATTATTAGGCGATAGAGGTCGCTATTGATGATTTGTATATATTTTTTTAATCTGAAGAGCGCTTCTCTCGTATGGCACATTCAGGGCATTATTCGAGCAACTTCATGTGGTAAATAAACAAATCAAAATCCAAAACAATCAATAAAAAACACCTAAATAGCAAAATCAAACAATGAAATTTTTATGGTTTTTCACTGATGACAAAAAAGAAATTAAATCAGGTGAGCAATATTGAGAGAGATCGGGGAATTAGAACAATTTTGAGATGAGCAGTGACCCGGGGATGGAGAAAGGACCCCTCTTGTTTTTTGAGGTGAACTTGAGCCCCAATAATCAGCAATACAAAATATTTTCCCGGCCAATTCAATTTAACGCCTAGTTCATTCAGTTCAGATTGAAATTGATCGTCATTCGACAATTAAAAAGAATCATTCAGTTTCACTATCCGAATATTCTATCGTCTTTTAGCTTCACTTGTCGCTGTAAAAGATGCATTCATATTAAAAGTGTCGTACGTACTTTTATTCAATTTCGTCTGAACCAGCAGTAAGGGGTTGATTGGGCATTCAATTTCATTAATGGGCACACATATTCCACATCACGTTCAAGCATCTTTTAAGAAATTCCCTGCATGTTCGTATTCTGTCGGGGGGAAGGGGGACGGTGGCTCGCACCATCTTCTGATAGGGGGCACTGTTAAAAAGGAACAATCATGGACATTTTCGTTCTTTATCCCTGCAGATTTCCCGAAGGACGTACGAGTTTTCCGTCAGGCCGACTTCGCCTTCCCGATTTTGCTCCTATCAGCGTCCTGATTATGGTTTTAAAACGGTCTAGCTCTTTGCAATCTGCCACGCTGCACTCCCCAACCCCTAATGACGCCACTGTGTCTTGCACGTCAAGAGATCGATGGGTGAATCAGCGATGAATAAATATATAAAATAATACAAAACAGAATGGAAAAAGAACAGTAAACAAAGTGAAAGGATTTGCTCAAATTTTTAAAACAAGTATATATAAAAGACTAACAGTGAAAAAAGAAATCCCTTAGCCCTTTTTATTTCAATTTTTGGTTACATCATCCCTCATATCAGTTCATTTGTTACGTTATAAATCTTACAGACACAAAGATTTTGGTAAAATGGACCTCCAAAAAAAAAAGGAAAAATATCAATTAAAACATCTTATTAATTTGAATGACCAAAGGATGAAAATGACTACCCTTAAACGAATTAGAAAAGACAAACGTGGTCATACGTCATATGCCCAGCGACAATCGCTAACTTGAATGCGTCAACCGTCAAAAAATGTCTAAAACTTAATGAATGCTGCAAATTAAGCATTGGGTGCATCAAAACGAAATAGAATGCCCCAAAACGAAAATGACATTGGAACGAAACCTCGGGAATAAAAACCTATAGTCAATTCAATTCATGTCAAATCACGTGATTTGGTCGAATCAAATCCAATCACTAGTGAAAACAAATCTTCGTGTTTTTATCTCCAACTCAAGTCATCAAATACACTTCCAAATAAACTTTTAGGGTTCAGTTATACAACGTGGGTCCACCAGCAATCTAGGCAATCTATGTCGGGTCTTCGGTCATTCACCCATTGTCGCGTCTAGAAATGGATAAAACATAAACGCTAGACACAGCAACAAAGGCTGTAGCGCACTCTTGCCAATCTCTACAATGATAATCAGTCAGTCTTGGTGCCTTCCGCTTGCCAGCAGGCAGGTGGGCTATCAGAGATCTCCAGCCTTGTCTGTTCTGCGCTGCTCTCACACATCCCTCATACGTCTTGCCGCTCCACTCCAAGATGTCTGTTGTCCACTTGCGTCTGGGGGCGTCCTCTCTTCCACTTTCCTTCTACCTTTCCCTCTATGAGCTGCCTCTGATGACTATCAGCTCGGAGTATGTGACCAAAATACTGTAGCTTTGTTTTCATTTTTACTTTATCGAGAACCTCTTCATTTTGTGACTTTATCCCTGTAGGAGATTTTCAGCATTGATAATTGTTATGTCCAAATAATGTATAGGCCTACTTGGCCAACCAAATCAATGAGAAATGGTCATCTGTACAGAAATGTCAATTTGTAACGTCATCGGTCACAAAATCTTTCTAAAAATAACTCAAACGAGTAATTCTCAAACAACGATCACATTACATAATCCATAATCATATCGACTGATACGTAATCTCTAAATTCTAATGAGAAACTTAAAAAGCAATAATTATGACGTCATCAAATTTGCAACATACATCGGTGCCAAACGAAACAATGTTTCCTCAGATCAGTAATCAAAAGGCGATTTTCTCAACAAAAATACGAACAAAACTCATAATAATCAAGAATCTATTATCTTAAGTAAGAAATAAAACTACTCATGGGAGATCGAGCACATCTTCTACAAGTAGAGGAAAATCGGGCAACAAAATATTGAACGGTTTTGAAAGGAAATATGAAACGGTTGATGGAGTGCCATGGCCTCGTGGTCTGAGCATAGAATTCTCGGTAATTCTTCAGGTTGTGGGTTCGAGTCCAGCCTGCGGCCATGGTGCGTGTGCCCTTGGGCAAGGTACTTTGTCACTCATTACTTCTCCCCACCCAGGAGTAATGATGGGGTACCTGTGAGGGCAGATATGGTTATTGTGGTAGATTCTAGCTGAATTGCGCCGAAAATGGCAGTATCGAGCTGAATACTCCCGAGGGAGCTGAGATTGTAATTGGAATGTTTCATTGGCCCAGTGATCAGGGGTAATAATAATGTAAAGCGCCTTGATCTTAGTTAAAAGCGCGATATAAGTACCTGTGATTATTATTATTATTAAACGGTTCTTAAGTGACCGTGATATGCTAGCGATCGCAAGTTCGTTCTGTAATAGAGGAATATCAAATTGACACTGAATATAACCGTTGGCCTCATTCCTGTCTTTTGTTGAGAGGACTTAAAAGAAAAGTTCCTCAAGTCATACAATGGCTTATTAGCTTTTAGAGCCCCGGTTCCAATGGTGGGATGGAACTTATTTACGAGTCCGCCATCTTAAATTGAAAGCGAGGTAAACTCTTCATTATTTTTTGGAACTTGAGAATAATATGAAAGCAATGAAATAGTGCTTCATTTCAAATTACCAGTCTGCTCTGATGAATAATTTCAAAATTTTGATTCAATACATACTAATTCTTTAAACCATATTAAACAAAACCCGAAAGTGAGGCCAGCTGCCCTCACATATTAAAAAAAATAGTCTGGCACCATCCCATTCAACAGTAACACATCGAAAATGGCTTCGTCGTGAATAAGCTTTGTTCATCCATCCCCGCGCTCTCTGCAGCACTCGACACCAGCTGGCAAAAGCACTACTGTGCATATATCAATCATTCACTTTCACTTTCAGCGCTCACGCACACAAGTGTGTATTTACCTGCAATCGTGGACCTTCTATTGTCCCTCTTTTGTTTGTACTTCAACTTTTTAGGACGACCTCCCATATATGTTTTGTACACGACTGTCAATTGCGGACCTTCGAGAATTGTGGACCCTATTGTCCTCCATTGTTCAAAGTCCCCTACTGAATGCAAAAACAATCTCTCGCAGACAGGATACCATGGCTCACTCAACAATAACAAACAGTAAAGCAGACACATGTGTCTGTACTGACTGATCTTTATTTATAATCAACAAAGTAGACTTTACAAAGTAGACACCTGGTCAGTTTCCCTTCGTGGTTCATTTGAAAAGTTAGGACAAGTTATATTAATCAAACCTAAGACAGAAGAAGAGAAATACAATTTAAAGGAGATTCACATCAGTCGTGACTCTAACATACCCGACCGATCAATGTTGTTCCCTAAATGACATCATCAATCACTATGGTTTCTTGCTTGAGGCCACTCTAACCTCTTGGAAAAATGTTCGAATTCAACGCCCCGAACCGGCTCCCCCCCCCCCCTTTGGAAAATCAAGGTTCCGCAAAATGTATAAATGTTACAGTGATTTCCTGCAAACAAATGCATTTGGGCCAACAGATGTTTCATCACAACCGCGAGGTGCTCATGAAACAGTGCAAGGTGGTTATCTTAATTTTGGATACATCTTAATATTTGGTATCTATTCCCGATCCTGGATATTTCTGTAGTACGTTGCGGCCTCAATTTCGAAGGTAACGCGAAGGACGTTTTAACAATTGAAGGATTTTTTTTTTTCAAAATGAAAAGAGCTGCGGGAGCTACTTTAATTTGTTCCACACACCTCTAGATACCTCTGCGTTATATACTGTCACCATTCATTCATATTCCAAACTCGATATTTCGCCGTTGTCGACGTCATTACCGCTACCGTCGGTAGGATCCCGGCAGCCACTACCGCCCTCTCCCGTCGGAGAAGGGTAATCTTCATCGTCACATGGCGGAGTGGTCCCTCCCTGCAAATGCGGCAAAAAAACGCGGGAAATGACATTTTATTCCATGTTCTTTTCACTGCATGGACAACGATTTTTACCCTCTTTTATTGAAAAGATGAAGAAGTTTTAAGCACTCTTCAAAGAAATGCTGTGTAGTAGCCCCGCAGTCAGCATGGAGGGATATTTTTCATCTGCAACCAAGTAAAGCCATGTGTACGATATCAAGTGATGTGTATGATATAATCATGCAATTTGAGAAAACTTGATGATATGGTTAAGGACTTGGATATGAATACATACACTGGACGTCATTGGTTCGAAGCTTGATATAATCATTTGTTTTTTCCCCTCAAAAAGATTTTTCTCTCTATTTATTTAGTTTAATCAAGGCTTACGTATCAAAGACAAATTTCGGCTTTTTCCGATTTATGGTACTAGGGATTTTTGTTTTAGAGGAGAGTATAAAGTCCGAGAACCATTATGTTACCAACTGACGTATGTGCATTACGGTCGGTGACTATAGTTGGTTGCAGAACAAAAAAAGTATTGCAGCGTGGAGTGAGAGGCACATTACTAAAAAGTAAGCCTTTTACAGGCTGGGCTTCTCAAATGCTGACAAGAAACGATTGGATATTTTAATTATCAAAATCTAATGACGCATTCAATCTTAATACTGTCCTTCTATATAAGAACACACGATATCCATGCACGAAAGGAGCTTCTTATTTTTGTGACAGTTATTAAGATAACAAAGGGCCCACGCCGAATTTGGGATGGGTCATAAGGTCATAGGTCATAAGGGCTTTGCCCTATATTTTCATTTATAGCAACATTATATAAAGGCAACTAAATTACATCATTTTATCGAAATCACGGCACATAATCCGTCTAAAAGAAACACCGTAAGTCACACCAAATAATACATATATGTACATTTCTTAAAGAAAAATATTGTCAACGGCTGGTTACTCAGTATATTTTAGCTACATTGCAAACAATACCATATCTTGGTTCTTTTTTTCATAATCTTTGGGTCATTTCTTAATAATTTAGGTAAAATTGTTGTTTTTAATTGGTCGTTATAATTTTCTGGTATTTTCGTTCCATTTATTACCCCTGAAAAACGTTGTGCTGGATAATATATGTACAATGTTTATATAATCAAATATTGTGGGTTTTCTTAATCTCTTACCTCTACAGATGAGTCGGCTGACGCGGAATCTGTAAAAAGATAGTTTTCTTTAAATATTGAGTCCAAATTGATACGAGCAGGAACAGGAAACAAAAACTGTAATTTGTAATTTGTATGCAGTTTTGATGTTCCCCCATTTGTGATATCTTGGATAAATGCCTGATAGAAGACGATAATGGGCAATAAAAACAAAGATGGGTTGGAAAGTTTTCTCACCGTGAAAATATTTAGCATTATACCAGAAAAATTCCGAATGCAGTCTGTCCATTCAAAATACCACAGATTGCAAAATTGTTTGATCAATTTCGATAAAAGTTTTTAAAAATGTGACAACTTCAAAAAGATGCTCAAACTACGCACATGAAAACAAATCCTCTTGCATAAGGCTGTTTAATTAAAAAACAAACAAACAATTTCCTCGTTCCCAAAATTTGGCAAGGGCCAACTGTCCTATCAAGACGCTACAAAAATTAGCCTGAACCAGTACCCTTAGTTCCAGGGTAAGTGGGTACTGAGCAAATAATTGCTTACAGGATGAGTCCCCATCGCCCAGGCAGGGGGCCAGTTTGCAGTTTTCATTATCGAATTTCTCCCCCTGGCATTTGAGCCCTTCGTTCTGCGGTGGCGGATTGTCGCACTGCCGCGTGCGGGTTTTGAAGCTGGCCTTCCCACAGGTCGACGAGCAGTCGTTCCAGGGTGACCACGTGCTCCACATACCGTCAACTGAAAATCAAGAACAGAAAACAAGTTTTTTCCTTGAAAATGGTCGACAAAGAGAGATTATTTCTTATTCGACCACGGGCGGCACATACCGTGAAATGAAATCATGAAGAATTTTTTTTTTTGCTTACATAATGTAAAAAAACAACAAAAGTTGGGAAAATTATTATTCCATGGGTTTTATTCACGAATCGGCCATATTGAATTGAAAGCGAGGTAAAATCTTCATTTTTGGATCTTGCGAATAGAAATGAAAACAATGGCAAAAAGTTAATTACAAATTAATACCAGTCTGTATTGATGAATAATTTAAAATCGGTGATTAAACACACCCTAAAGTTTTAATCCACATTAAAAAAAAAATTAAAGTGAGGCTACAATCCATAAATAGTCTGGCACTATCCCATTCAACAGGTGACAATTTATACAATACATTTAGGGAACACGACCAAAATGGCTTTCTCATGAATAAGGTCCATACCCAACCTCGTCCCCAGGGTGTCGAGCAATACGCGCCCACCACTAGCTGCTCTCTCACCCTGGTATTGGATCATTTGCATGTGCAAGATTTTTGAACACATATGCAAATGAGGACTAGTCTGGTGCCTGCATGTGCGTTACATTAGCGCTTGTTTTTGTATGCGGTGTCTGGGGTAAAAACAGAGTCAATTCGTCGCAGGCGAGCATGGCGTGAGTTACGAAAACACGATTTATTCAATTAAACTGTTACGATTTTATCGAAACAACATGCAGTATCACATTTTATATTAATATGAACAAATTGGAAAGGAAATGAGTATTTTCGAGAAGGCGTGGACGAATGATTGCGAAAACACGTACTGCACGTTTTGAATAACAACACCAAGTACACGACAAAATCCATTTCTAGCCAATTGAGGTATCGAATCAGGATACAGGAAGAAAGTTTCCTATCCAGGGTTTACTAATGGAAACGTGGTTGGAAATAAAGTAAGCACTGGGGACGAGGTTGGGTCCATACCCACAACACTGTTGCAATAACTCAGGTAACTCAGGTATATAAGTCGACATAATTAAACTACTGTTGCAATGCGTATTTTGTATAGGACAGTCTCTCTTCAGAAGGAAAGACACACGGGTGATACAAATTTGCTAGCCAGATTTTCGCTCTTTTCAAAAAAGCTGTTGAAAATCTCTGAGCACAATGCTCAATGCTGGCTCTCCTGGCTCTATGACGTCATACCATCTTGACCAATGACCTTGCAGGGAGCTCCTGACACACGCACGTTTGATTACAGTTGGTACTTTATTGAGTGGAAAACCAATAATGGAACAACAAAAATGGGTTACCTGGGCAGATGACCTTAGAGCAATCTCTGATATCGTTGAGTCGTTCTTGGCATTGCCTCCCTCCGTGCCGTGGTACGGGGTTGGTGCATGAGCGCGACCGCAGCGCAAACCCTTCACCTGTGCATTCCCCCTGACATCGCCACTGACCCCACTCGCTGACTCCGCCATCAACTGCAAGGGCAAAATTCAAATTCATATCTACTGCTTTACGAAGCTAATAGTTCCGTTTTGATAGCCGAAAAAAAAAATTAAGATGCATATCCCATGCTCTTCAAACGAAAATATGGATTTTTCTCCTCTAACGAAGTTTGTATTTAAACGAAAACCCCATTTTGGGTTTCTTCAACCCTCTGAAAAAAGGGATTTCCTTTCGTGCACAGATAATCGGCCTGCGAGAGCCGAGTTATTGTCTCGCAGTCAATAATTCGCATTTTACGAAGAAATAGTTTAATGACTATACGTCGGTGGATTTCTGTTGATGTTCAATGTCCCAGTGAATGACTTTTATGTTGCTAGGAAAATTGCAATTGAAAAAAAAATGTTGTTAATACGGTACTTTTAGCGGAGTACAAAAAGGAAACTTACGTTATCAAGACTTAAAACCATGGATGTAAAAAAATCCCCAAAACACCGAGTGCTCTGCGGATATTTTAAAGGGCCGTGCATTAAATTTTCTGAGGAACATATTTCGTGCATTTTTCTACTCCTTTTAAATGTACGCAAAATATGTTTACACATTAAAACATTTCCATGCTTTTCATGATCACTGAGGATGACATTTCAGGAAAACACTGTTCAGTTTAGGGGTTTTCTGTTCAAATAACGAAACCAAAAATATGCTTGCCGAAAATATTTGTGATAAAAGGTTGCTCATTGACTTACTGCCATGTACTGACACAACAACGAATCAAATCACCTAAGAAAAGGAAATTTCCGACAATGAAATATACAAATTCGGGCAAATTTTGGTGCTGAAATTGCAGTAACATTGAGGTTTCTGCCTGAAATGACATCACACTTTTGCTCATGAATATGGAAATATACATTAGCATCAACCCCCCCCCACCCCAAAAAAAAGGCACCAAAACCCCATTAAAAATGGCAAAACGAAATTTGGAAATAGGGTTAAATGGGATAGAAAGGTGCATTTCCAAGGATTGCATTCCAAAAAATTACGGTGCATGGCCCTTGAAGGTTGTTCTATCCGTGTTCTTCAACTGTAGCCTATAGGATTCTTCCTCCTAACGAATTTTCATTTTGTATGTTTCTTATGGGAAATATGTTCGGATATTTTCAACCATCTGATAATACGCTCTTAAAGACTTATTCTGGGTTGCTTGTGCGTGCACAACGCACAAAAGATACCCCTCAAATATCCATCGGGCCGCAAATAATTCGAAAGTTATAAAGTAAATAGTTCGAAAGTTGTAAAGTAAACATTCCAAAAATGTGTGATTAACTTTTGTATTGCTACAGAGATGGGAATTTAAAATCAAAATCTATTTTTTTTTCGGGGCGAAACTCAGAAATAGAACGGGGAGATCGAAAACTTTTTAGAAATCCTAAATTTGTACAACTGGTCTGACCTGGGCAGTTGAGGGCGTTTGCCTTGCAAGACCGGATGTCCGTCTGGTCGCCGACGCAGTCACGGCCGCCGTACCGAGGCCTTGGCGCCGTGCACTTACGGATGCGTCTGCGTTCCCCATCGCGTCCGCAGGTAACCGAGCACGGGGACCAGTCTAACCATTCCCTCCAACCTCCATGAACTTAGAAATAAAAGGGAAAGAACGAACAAAAAAACGCCTTCAAAATTAACCTTCACACATATACCCAGCACATTAACGATGTACCACAGAAACGAACTATTGTCTTGGTTGAATTTCTCATGGTTGACTAAAAAGAAGAGAACGCAAAGATGTGGAAACCAATGATACAAAACCTACCTTAAACTCCATCGGAGTCGTAGTGTTTTGTTTGTTTACTTGCTTGATTGATTTTCGCAAACTGATTCTTGCCAAATAAAGAACAGCCATCTTTAAAAAAACCCAGAAGACCAAATTACGATAGACTTTGAAAAAAAATGCCAAACTTAATGTGAAAACACCTAACAGTCAACACAGTTTCGTAACACCAAAAACAAACCAAAATTTACATAAGTATCCAACGTAAATAACATGGCAAAAAGTTGTCTATTTAAAAATGTATTTATTATTTTATTGATTTGTTCTTTCACTCGCCCTCACTTCGCAACCAGAAGTCTGAATGGGGGATGGGGGAGATGTGTGGGGTGGGGGAGAGGAGGGGAAGGATCACATGCAAAACGAATACGTGTTAACCCTAAAGGGCCGGGTTATTTTGGCCATGGGGGGGGGGGGGGGAGGGCGGATTCCGCCCCCTTCAGATCTTGGCCATCGAGTGACGAAAAATTACGAAACTCGGTACATGCATGAATCAACTTAATATAAACATACCAAGACAGTTCATGACTATAAGTCAAAGGGTTTTGGAATTATGGCTAATTAATTATTCATATGCACCAGTGGTAATTCTGCTTTGTGTACACTTGGGGAAATTAAGTTTTCACTGGAAAATGTATGCTTGTGGTATCAAAAGATGCGCAAGACTCGAGGCTAAAAAAGTGAGGACAAAATTTTGCAAGGGTATCGTGGAATAAGTTTGGAGGGGGGGGGGGGGGGTGGCGGATTCCTCCCCGGCCCTCTTACTAGTTTAAGGCTTAAAACGTATGGCCGACTGGTTTACAATTTCTTCATGTGTTGTTTTCCAAACTTACTCGGGCAGTGCCTCTTATCGTTGCACCACTGCACCTCTCTGCTCTCTCCGACGCACGGGTTCCCCTCAAATTGTGGGCTGGGCGAATCGCACTCACGAAACCTGGCCATTGTGTCACCGCAGGTGGCGCTACACTCACTCCACAGAGACCACTCGCCCCATTGACCGTGCACTGGAAATGGAAGGAAAATGGGGCTGTCAAAAAATGCTCGCTTTTATCATACATTCTCACGTAGTTTCTTTTCAGGCCAACAATTTAATATGTGAGTTGTGACTTTTTATCCGTGATAACATTTTGAGCCGTGCGTGTGACGATTTCGTAACTGAATGGGTGTGGACTCGTAAATATCCCGCGCCCTCAGCGTTGAAAATGCGATAACTTGCTATATGAGACAATGGTGCAATAATTCAAAAATGAAAATACTCATACAATTAATAATAAAGAAGAATAAAAGACTGGTTCCTGTTCCTTCTTTCCATATCTATAGCGTAATATGAAGACACTGGAAACCAGTCTTTTTTATTCTCTCTCAGCAAACCACCCATTCAGTTCCGGTATGAATTCGCAAAATGTAAACGGTTGAAGAGCGTGCGTGAACCAGAACTCTTCGCAAGTTCAAAGTCTTGGCTTGCACTTGAAGAAGAACAAAGGACATTTTGGAAGTTCGGACAATCATTTTAGGCGCAATTTCGTGTATAACACACACACACAGACACATGCACGTTACATACCTAGTGTGGACATTCTTTTGTTTTCGTGTAGTTAAGAAAAACCTGTGAAAAAAACTCATTTTACTCACACTGAGAAAACTCTTTCAACCTAAAGGTTTTTTTTTTATGAATCCCTTTGGTGTTTATCTTCATTTTGCCGTAAATACAAGTCAACCTAACCCGAAAATGCCTCTAAACCTGTTTTCCAGAGAGGGGGAAACATTGTGTGGACGTGGGCAAGTCCACACAACGTCGCTGCTACCTGTTTGATGTAAACATCATTTGCTCGGAAGTCCACAAAGTGAATGTAATGCTTGAACACATGTTTTACTATACTCATGAGAACCTGATCCTTTCCTTCTTTTGTTCCCTTTTGTTTGTACTCTTACTTTTTCTCGACAGCTCCCATAAGGTTTGTACACGAAATTCTCCAGGGCCAGGGCTCAGGTCCTCGGTCCCATTGAAATCGCACACACCCCATTGTCCCAAGTCCTGGATAACCAACCCACACATAACAAGGGAAACTTGTACCTCAGTTGTCTTTTGTTTAATCAAAAGGGTCTCTGAGACACTTGAGTGACCTTACTGGAGGCGCACATGCGCAGTTGGAATCCCTAAACTTCTATTGCATGCAACTGCGCATGTGTCACAGACACGAGGGCAAGCTAATCAACAATGAGAGATACAGTACAACGTTCAGTTTTAAAATCACAGCAACAGGTCCAATTCTTTACCGGGGCATATAATGCCGGCGTTGCAGTCTCGATGCTCAACTCTGTCCCCTGAACACTGAAAGTTGTCGTCGGGATTATCGGGGGAGGGTCTACAAACTCGCCTTCTCTCTTCAAATCCCGCACCGCACGTGACAGAACATGGCTGCCAGTCACTCCACCTTCTCCATACGCCTTCAACTGTTAAAACCATTAAAATGAAATGAACAACGCTTAAACATAAAGATACCATGCTTTGTATTACATTACGCTTTCTACTGGGAGCTTGGTGGTTCTTGTCCCCACTTTGCTCCAGTTTGAAAGCGCACATGAAAACAAAACGTGACGTCATTATGACGCAAAAGAATTGCCAGATAAATTACCTTAAAATATTTCAAAATATTTCAGTAACACACTAAATATAACAACGAGGCTGAAACTATCTCAAGTTCTATTATATTTCTGGAAACCTCCATGGTTCTAGAAATCTATAGTCACTGCGGAAAACCACGATCCGTTTCACCCGTTCACCATAGATTTTCCACTGCACTCAGTCATGCTTCTTAACTAAAAAAGAAAGCAATTTGAAACTGTTATCAGTTGTGCCCACATATATCATGCTTTCAAGACTGGTTTCAAGTCAAATCTGATGACAGTTTTAAAGACGGCTTATTTGAGATATGGCAGACAAAATTGAGGGCGCTGTTTGCGCTGGGTAAAGTCTTTGTATTTACCCAAACCAAATAGCGCCCTCGTATGTCCCGCCATATCTGTAATTACGCTCAGAGAAGTTTTTACCACCACTGTTTAGTTATGGCGTATAATTACTGTACAAAAAATTCCAATTATTTGCGGTTTAGAGGCGCAAAAGAAACTCAAAAATAACAGCCTATTCAGAGGGTTAAAGACGCCAAAAGGAAACAAAGTAGGATGTTTTGTCGTTCAAATTAAACATACAAATTGAATATTCGTAGAGGAGACCAATAAATGGAATTTGTTGGAAGGCATTGACAGTACATTATTTAAGCGTTAAAGTTGGTACGGTATATACGTGCTTTTTTAAAATTTCGATTTTCTTTCCGAACGAAATTTAAAGGAATATAAATCGTGTTACAAATAAATTTGGTTATTTGTATTTGTAGGCCTTTACACAGTTTTAAAAATTGGTTTTAAATGGCGAACTCCAGTTCAGAAATTGCGCATTTTATTCAGAACGAATTAGGAGCGTCCCGCTCTTAATTCAGAAGTTGGAATTATTAGCTGATTACTTGTCATGGGCCGATCTTTTTTTCGTGCGATGTCTCATTGCAAAGCTCATAACTAATGTTGTTCTAGAAAATGATCAATTCAATTTGAAAATCTATTTTTCAAGGTGCTACACCCAAAAAGCACGTTTAGTCGTATACACCAACTTTAAATGAAAACCTCCTGGATTCTTCATGGGTTTCTTCAAAAATGTAGCCACAGGTGCATAACATGGGTGAATTCGTTAACATTTGTGGATCTTAAAGAAACGGCACAATATGCTGGATAAGGGAATACAGGCAAAAAGGAAGGATCACGTACCCGAATTTTGGTCTTCCTCGTATTCAGCAACCTGCTGGACAACCTGCGGTGCCTGCACCTCCACTGGCCCCGGTACTTCACACGCCGCCGCGCACCTCTTCCCGCTGATCTTATTGGACCAACCCTCGGCGCCCAGCAGGCAGCACGCCTCTCTCGTGTCCACGGGGGCACCGTCGGGGCCCGGTAACCTCTCCACCAGTTGCTGGCACTTACCCCGTGAGCCGAGCGGGTCACGATACCGGAAACAGTAACCGTCTTGTGCTAATTATGTCAGAGAAGATTTTTGAAAAACAAATATGGTTTATCGTCAGAAAATATGCTGTAATATATTGAAGAGTATATGGTGGAATATTCATTGCTTAATCTATTTCACTCGAAATAAATCATCGGCTAGATCAAGGGCGGATCCAGGGGGGGGGGCCAAAGGGGGCCATGGCCCCCCCAAAACGAGACCAATTTTTTTTTTTTATGTGACATCGCAATGAAGGCAGGCAATGAGTACACCACCATCTTTTCCTAAAAAAAAACATTGGTTAAAGTGGTCAGAAATTGCCTCAGATCGCACCACAGAGCATCTAGAATCCAAAAAATGTTCGGGGCCCTTAAGCGGGCCCCGAACCCCACGCCGTAATTTTTTGACCCTTTTTTGTGTGGTCAAAAATTTATTTTGGCCCCCCCAAAAAATTGTGTTCTGGATCCGCCCTTGGGCTAGACCTGTTGAGAATTGAAATTATTATTATTATCCATCTCTTTTATGATGAAGAATCGACTTCGACTGAAGTGTTTCCTTTTCAAAGTATTTCAATTTAAACTTACGGTTGTTTTCACTCTAAACAGTCCAAGTCCCTAGTTTCACTACCTGAAAATTAGAGATAACTCTAAATAATGTGAAATTTAATTGTTAGTTGTCCTTACAGTTTTAGACCCACAAACAGTTTTTGAAATCTTTAAAACGAACACCCCCCAAAAAGCAGCCAATTTAACGATTAATGTCTTAAAGTTTGTTAGAAATGTGATTTATTTCAATAGCGAAATAGAGTTTAAACTTTGTACCTGATTTTGATTTTCTCAAAATATTTCAGCATCAACTCAATGATATTCAAGTTATAGACAAACCAGATATGCTGCACCAATCAGACAGTAAATTTAGATATACATGTAGTTGAAACATATGCGATTTTTGTAATACGACTGTGGGGTCGGTGAGGATGAAATGTGGGTATTGTCTGGAATGACCCGGATCAGGATTTCCTTAAACATGAGGATATCCTTATTATTTGGAAACACAACAACCTACCATCGGTTAAAACCCCCGATATCCAATGATTGTGAAAGATTTCTCCCTGACCCTGTATAAACACAGCCAGAGCTCTTTGACCTGACAACTTTTTGACATGATTTAAAGGTATAGTCCATCATTTGTAATTTGAGCATTTTGTTCGTTTGAAGCAACAAAATTGTCAAATCTAATTTATAAAGAACGGTGCTGAACAACTAATCTGATGAAGTTTCAACTCAGCTTCAGCTGTACACTTCGAGAAAAACAACATTCTAGGATCTCGATTTCAAATCAAAAGTTGCTGAATCATGTTCTGAATTGGGCCCGAATTCAGCTTCCGAGATACGTTCTCACAAGCCGATTGCAGCTACGCGATGCCGCGCACCGATCCGACGAGTAATAACAACCGTGCGCGTGTGGGTCGTGTCAACGCTTGTGCACGCTTCGCCGAATAAAAAAACCGGAACTACGCACCAATGGAATTTTCCTTCATTCGTCGATTTCTTCAAAATGACAGCTTGCCAGAAAGACTAATTTCACAGGGAGTTTAGTCCCCTTACTATCTTTCAACCAAGTATGTTTTGCAACAATAATTACGCCAGTTACTTTTTGGATAGCTGCAAATGATGGAGTCTGTCTTTAAGGAGGAATGTTTTCCTACGTATTCCGGTTCACGCGCCAACGCGCTAATCTGTGCGTGAAACGGAACAAAGATGAGATAACACTTCCGGTACTCTAATAGACCGATCCCCAACCTCGTTCCCCATGGGTACGATCTTGCTGCGCCATGTTGTTTCCCGTCATGCCTCGCGCGATCTTAACCCCTGGAATTGTCAGCATCGTTTACGTGTACATCACGGCCAGGGGTTAGTGTAAGGAATGCGTCCGTGGAGTCGAGGCTGGCCGATCCCAACCTCGTCCCCAGTGCTTACTTTATTTCCAACCTCGTTTCCAATAGTACGGCCTGGATAGGAAACTTTCTTCCTGTATCCTGATTCGATATTACAACTTGCTAATAATGGATTTTTATCGTGTAGTTGGTGTTGTAATTTCCAACGCTTTCTCAATTATACTCCTTTTCTTTCCAGTTTGCTCATATTAATATGAAATGTGATACTGCATATTGGCGGGCCAGATTGTAACATTTTCATTTCCCCCCAAAACGCATTTTTATAACTCACGGTGCGACGAATAAATGCTGTTTTACCCCAGACACCGCATACAAAAACAAAAGCTAATGTAACGTACATGCAGGCACCAGACTATTTCTCATTTGCATACGTGTTCAAAAATCTTGCACATGCAAATGATCCAATACCAGGATGAGAAGGCAGGTAGTGGTGGGCGCGTACTGCTAGACACCCTGGGACGAGGTTGGGCCGATCCATTAAGCCCCGACCCACCGGGTGATCTGATTTATGTCGGACATGCGTTCACGCGCGCATGACGCGCCCGGCTGGAAGATGACGTATGAGCACGTGAGGGGGGGGGGGGGCTTATTACTTGATCGGCCTATTCTTTCCTTCTCAATCTTTGAGTCAACAAAGTGTAATGAACTTGTAATCCGCTCTGCGCACGGAATCCTCTAGAACAAAAGCGGAGCTGAAATTCAATAAGTTCAAAGAAATTTTGGATTGTGGATAAAGTTGACTTATATTATGCAAATTATGTTCTGACGTTTGCATTCTCAGTGTTATTGATTGGCCATTGCACGTTCGCCGTCATAATACTGCATTCATGTGCATATTAAATCCGCGCACGCGCACAAACCGAACCAGGCTCCACCCACTTCATACGGAGTGCCGTGCTCGAAATTCCTCGCTCGCACCGCATTTTAATATAATAGATTTTTGTTTTGACAATGTGACTGTTTAGAGATGAACAATGAGGAAAACCTACGGTCTTCTAGTAAAACAAATTGATAATGAATGAAAACACCAAATCTTGTTTGAAACCCAGCGTGTGAACGGATGTGTTACGCGTCACTATGTAACAGCTGAACCAACAAGGAACTTCCTTGCAGGATCCTTGCTTAGGAATAAATTAGGAAATACGTATTGTTTTGGCATGTGGTCCATTTACCTTTAGCATAGTGCCAAGTCGATCATGAAAGGGTCAATGCAAAAGAAACATGTTTTTTTACGGATCTTTTAATCACACCCTTTTGTATTATTCACCATTAGTTCCAGTCTTTATATAGTGTTTCCTTTATATGCCGATTTCTATCATGATAAAATCATACATGCATTTTCACTGTATTCTCTGAAAGTGGGCTATTAGTTTAACATCAAACTCTCAACCGTGCCGTATTGAAGTCGGAAAAAAGAAGCAAACACTAGGTTGAAAGAACCAGTCAGGATCGTAAAGCCCGGTTCATACTTCATGCGAAAGGCATGTGCGAAGCGAAATTCTTGTCATCAACAATGGTGGACGCGCTTCGAATGTATTGTTGACGTCACGTATTTCGCTTCGCTTTCGCTCTCGCGTGAAGTATGAACCGGGCTTAAGGCGGTCACTGTGGAGTAAGGTACTGTCTGTGACAATCGTAAGTACGCCTAAGTCGGCCACAATGGCGTAAACCGGATAATCCGTAAATGCATGTCAGCAATAATACTCAAACGCTGACGATTTACGCAACATTTCCTTAAGCACCAAGTTATCTTGTTCCTTAAATTAAAGCGTCCAATAATTCGATCCAACAACCTGGTTATTCTAGCTGCACAAAAAGTTCGTTTTTGTGAGGGCTCCGATTTTCAACGGAAATCTACGGAAGCATAAAGTGACCATTTGAGTGCCCTTGAAAACCACCCAAATTGATCCTCATCCTTCACTCTTTGCTACAAGAGGGTAGACCAAATAATGTGATCTTTATCCAACTGGAGTTTTGAATCTTCAGGCCCACCGAAATATAAAAACAAAAGTTGCTTCGTTTTCTGCTTTTACGATGTTACAATATACAACTTCGACTTACCGGTGTCTGCCAACTTGCCGCACACAATCAGGCAAGCCACCACGGTGGCCACAAACCGAGTCATGTTTCAGTTCTGTACGGACTGAAGTTGATCACCTAACTAACGCTGTACTAGCAAGGGTGCCAATTAAACACTACAGCTCTGCCGGATTTTGGTGGTGCTTCTGTACCAGGAAGTCATGAAAGTGTTTGATAATCAGTGGCAGGATTCTGATTTGGTAGCGATTGTGACGTGTACTTTCGTTTTACGCGCCAGAGTACGAGAGTTCAAGGAAAGAATGGAATTATGATGGTGCTCGACCCTACAGTGTTTTTTTTCTTCTAAAGTCATTGGTGCTTAAATTAATAAGGGTGAATGCTCACCATTTTTCCCTGGCCGTGTGAGTGTTCCAGATTTTTTTCAGACGATTAAGGCATAAGCTCATATTTCAGGCGTTTCAATTGGCCGCTTGTTTGGACTGGTACCTTTGGCGCCACTGCAAGGGCGGATCAAAAACACTTTTTTTGGGGGGGGGCAAAACAATTTTGGTCTCTCAAAAACTTGGTCCAAAAATTACGGCGTGGGGTTTGGGCCCCTTTTAAGGGCTCTGATTTTTTTAAGATTCTAGTTGCTCTGTGGTGCGATCTGAGGCAATTTCTGACCATTTCAACCTTTTTTTAAAGGAAAAGATGGCGGTGTACGCAGTGCCAGCCTTTATTGTGACATCACTGGGTTCCCCCTTTTTATTGGGGGGGGGGGGGGGGGCATGACTCCCGTTGCCTCCTGGATCCGCCCTTGCGCCACTGACGTGTTCTCTGACGTTAAGGTGAGAAAACGACATACATGTACATGTGCTCTCTCACCCTGGTATTAGATCATTTGCATGTGCAAGATTTTTGAACACGTAGAAAAATGAAGAGTAGTCTGGTGCCTGCCTGTGCGTTACATTAGCGTTTGTTTTTGTATGCGGTGCCTGGGGTAAAAACAGCATCAATTCGTGGCGCCGTGAGTTATGAAAACACGATTTTTTTTGGAAGTTAAAAATGTTACAATCTGGCCCGCCAATCTGCAGTATTCCATTTCATATTAATATGAGCAAACTGGAAAAGAAAGGAGTATTTTTGATAAGGCGTGGACGTTAAGATTACAATTAACGTGAAAACACGTAATGCACGTTGGAAATAACAACACCAACAGCACGATACAAATCCATTGCGGTATCGAATCAGGAAACAGAAATGAAGTTTCCTATCCAGGGCTTACTATTGGAAATATGGTAAGCACTGGGGACGAGGTTGAGTCCTGAGGCACCCCTGCCTAATGTAGGTCCATGTGCTGCCTTCAAAAACATGACATCCTACGATATGAAGCCTGAGTATTTGGGGTGTGTTCAGTTGGTTTGAACCATAGAGCTATATTAAAGGTAGCCTATAGTCCATCATTTGTAATTTGTGCATTTTGTTCGTTTGAAGCAACAAACTGCTCAAAATCTAAAGAAGGGTACTGTTCTCTTCTAGTGACTTAGTCACTGTCCATAGTTCACTGTTGTATAGAAATACAGATGCTATGAAGAGGCGCGGAATGTTTTGAGTTTCGTGTTGTTAGAGATTGCATCACTGTTGAAGACATTCCTGATTTTGTTGAAAGATGCCATCGAAAGTATTTTCCTCCTGGTAATATCTTGCTCAGTGTCGAGTAAAGATCCCAAGTATTTGCATTTCTTCCAACTGGTGTTGTTTCCGTTTCTACTGATGAGGTGTTTCTCTGTCTCTGACATGTTTACTGTGAGGTTTCGCTCTTTTAGTACCTCAGGTGCCTTCCTCTCCACAGTTGCTATGAGGTGGATATTGTTACTTGCCCAAGTGATGTCAAAACCCCATTTCAAAGTATACTGGTGGGCAAATAGCGTAGCTGTGGTTCTCGAGTTCCACAACGCGCAAGTAGAAGATACGCAAACAACTTAAGCGCGTCATGACGGTTCAAAAATGTCACGGCGAAAAGCATCTGCAGCGGAGGGACGCGCACACGCTGCGCTGTTTGCGTAGAGCAAAATGAAACGCTCATTTGCTGATCGTGCGTTTCGGTTTTGGGCGTATCGGCTTCGATGACGCATCGGTATGGAATACAAACGCAGATATGCAAATAGCCGTACAAAAGCCGTACAAAATTTCGAGTTTTCCACAGGTTATATGCGCCCACCAGGCATTACTTTGTACATCGAGTTAGCGCTCCAGTAATTTAATATAGCTCTATGGTTTGAACATTTCAACTCCTCTGGAGCCGAACTGAATCCGAAACCGGGCTCATACCGAGGTTTGGAAAAATTCGCTGGAATGTCGGCCAAGTACGTCAATTGGTGGGTGGGATGACGTTCGGAAGTGGCATGCAGTGTCATGGTCATTTAAGTCACGTAAAGACATAAATTGACACAACAGAACCGACTGACCCCCAAACGTGTTGACGTTGTAGGCCTATGGGAAGCTCTTTCGTATAGGTACAACCGTCTTTCTTCAGTTTTGAAACTTGGACAGTGAATGCACCTGTTCTCAGTTTTCTGCCTGTGTTTTGAACCGCAACGGAACTTCCCTTTAGTGTACAAGCTGTGTCACTTTCTACCAATACTCAGAACCGACAGTGAGAGATATCGCCAGATTTACTCCATTCATGGTTCGAGCCTCCCTTTATACAAGCTTTCAACTAGTACCAAAAACCACGTCCCGTTCCTAGTTGTACCGCAAACTGGCAAACTGCCCAGGCCTAAGCGCACGGCCAACAAACGTGACGATCTATCAAGCAGGGCAACACTTCAAGCAGGACGCGCGCTAACACACCATGGACTTCTTACGAGGAGCATTCTTGAGAATGCTGCCATCTGTCTTCGTGTTCCTTGTTATTTTCAGCACCTCAGGACGCTTGGTAACAGCAGGTAAGCTTGTGGTACACATGATTTCAGCGCAGAAGGGTTATAGTTAATAGTAATATCGAGTTCGGAACATTTTGGGTTGCAACATTTTGGCGCAACATTTTGGGTTGGGAATGGATACAATAAATTATAATTAGGTGAAAGATGCCGAGGGGCTCATTTCAGACCCTATGGAGAAATTTATAGAAGACATTTGTGACAAATTCTCGAGAAAATGGAGTGTTTAAGTACTTTGATCGTATGTTTATTTTGTGATGAAAGATTATGCTATTCGACTTAATTGGTTTAGGCCTATTGGTGCAAGCGGTGTGCATTTCTGTGTAGTGCAGGAACCGGGTACCCTATTGAAGTAAAACACGGGTACCGTGAAAGAAACCCAACCCCCCAATTTTTAATCACAGGAATAGTGTTGTTCAGATTGAAATGTGTGCACCAGTGCAGCAAGATACAAGTGTGAATATGTGAGTGAAAGGATTTGCAACTTTAAAATGCACATAAACGTGAAATCTGCTTTGATTTTCAATGTAGCCTCAGCCTGGATTTAATATTGAAAATTCCCCCCAAACGGTGCACAAAACCCTTCTTTTCCTTTGTCTGAGAAGGCACTAAGTAAATATGTAAACTTACTTACGGGTATACCCGATCCCATAATCTGGAACCGGCTCCCGATGACCTATGCGGTCGGGTACTCGAGAACTAATTGATGCGCAGCCATTCTGAGACAATAGAGATGCAAATAATGTATGAATGGAAATCGACTATTCTTCATTCAAGCTATTTTATTCTTTCACAAGCTATTAGCCAATTATTTTTGGATTACTTTTTTATGCACCCTGTACATGTATGTATATAAAGACACATATTGTGGCGGATCAACGGGGTTACGGGTCTAAGTACCCCCCCCCCTCCCCAAAAAAGAGCTGGGTCCCGTAAGTAAAGTAAAATAAAGTAAAGTCTGACACAATGTGGCCCATCAGTCCGGCGTTTATCTCCGGTTTCAGTGGCATGAAACAACTGAAAATATTTCTACTCCCCCTGGATGGGATGCTAGTCCATCGCAGGTTACTCCCCAGCTAATGCCGGTACCCATTTGTATTCCTGGGTGGAGAGAGGCAAGTGGGGATGAAGTGGCTTGCCCAAGGACACAACATATGACCAGCAGCTGGATTCGAACCCCTGACCCTCTGATCATGAGTCACAAACACTAACCACTAGGCCACACTACCCCGATATGGCGATGCATCAGCTGGATTCGAACCCCTGACCCACTGATCAAGAGTCAAGAACCCTAATCACTAGGCTACACTCCCCACTCTGTCCTGCCATACTGGATATCAAACATGAGTAGAGAATGTTATCAAATCCACATGTTTTCGTTTGCATAACAACATGTTTCGTCGAGCGGTCAAAAGGTTATATTTTTCAACATCGGTGACGGGAAGAATGTTGCCTTCCGTTTAACCTCACCACAAGCAAGGCTTCCCGGATAGGCTTGCGATCTTCACAATTAAAGTCACTATGTCGAACGTGGGTAGGTACTGGGTAGAAGGCAAGGAGGAACTGAAATTTGCCCGCTTTCCTTCTTGTCATTACTTGAAATGTATGAAATTATTTCGTGGTTGGTGACTGTTGTACATTGTCACGTGCACACTCATTTGGCACTGAGCCAGCTATTGTTCAGATTAATTCGTCACGGGGCATGCAGTTATTTGTACTAGCACAACAGAAGCACAATGCTTTTGCCATGGTGAGGGCCTCCGTAGATGTACAGCTATGTGTTCGGACCTGTCTACAATAGCTTAGGCCTAATTCGTTTCATCTCGAAAAAAAATACATTAATTTTTTTTTCAATTGCTATGTTCCTATAGCAATAAATAAGGTTACTCACCTTTGAATGAGACATTAACGAAAACAAATCCATCGACGTTCAGTTAGTGAATAACTTCTTCCCAAAAACTCGAGTTGAGTGCGTTCGATTACTTCCCCCAGCTAATAACTCGCGCCTAGCTCCTCGCGTGATGACAGACATGCGCATTGGAGCTAACTAAACGAACGGTTTCGGGTAAAGTTTCGTGCAAGAGCTGGAAAGTTGAACTTTGACACGACACACCTGCATCTGCATCAACTGTCTAGAGCTAGGTCCAGGTAAATACGCGGGGACGCGCTGACAATGGACCCGTAGCCGTAGCTCTGGAAGCCTGTTTCGGACACGGCCTGAGGCGCCCGCCGGACGTCACGTTGGCAGCCATGTTTATTGCATGGCCTTATGGTTACAGACCAGTACATTCGGGAAAAATACTCACAACTCTCCAAAGTGTTCGAGACACACATCAAATTAAAGCTTATTTCATCATCTTTCATTTTCTTTTCAATTTTTGGGGGGTCAACTGATGACTTTTGAGAAATTTCCATCCGAAGATGATCATCCCTGAAAATAGTCCTGAAGCCCATCGCCATTTTGAAAAACGATGCCTACACTCCATTGCAAAATAGAGCGCTTTAAGGGCCCCAATTTCATCCAAATTGAACGGAACTACAAGCTCACAGTCCTGTGCACGGCTTCCACCCATTTGTTTTTTTACAAACCCTCAAGTTCATGGCCCACAGCATGCTCAAATACTGAAGATTTTGACGGCATGCAAATCGTGATTTGGCCGGCGTAGGCATTTTCGGACCGACTTACTGGTCTGCAACCTAATGGGATACTTACCCAAGTAACCGGCTTGGCGAGTCGGTTACTTGGGCCAGACTCGAGTAAGCGCGAGAAGTCACGTGAGAGGTAAATCGAACGCTGTCGCGCTTGCACGAGTTAGCACCGGGGAATTAATCGAACGCACTCATGATTGGCTGCAAAACAACAATTTCGGCTCTCGTAGGGCGGGTTTATTGTGCGCAAAATGAAAGCCCTATTTTGAGAGGGTTGCAGACGCCCATAATCGGAATAAAGTAGGTTTTTTTCTTGAGAACAAAACTTAAACATTGAAACTTTGTTAGTTAAAATTTATTTTTGAAGAGCAGGGGGTATGCAACTTTAAGGGAAGAAGACCCCCCCCCAAAAAAAAAACCCAACTGGCGACACAAACGTGACAACTACCTTTCTGCGGCCATTTATGAATAAAAAATGTCTACAATCACAACACACACGCCGTTTGTATCAATGAATATATTGGACACCATTGGGTAAAACATTTAAGGACGAGCGTTTCATATTGCAACTGTATTTTACATCATAGATAAACCCCACCACACACGTGTGCTATACCTACCCAGAAAATACACATGCATTTTAAACCCTACAAAATCTCCTCATGAATTCCGGAATTAGTACAGCGGGAGTTCCGTTTCCCAAGTGCTTGGTATAGTTCTCACGCCAAGCAAATCTGACATAACCATTCTGAAACGGTGGAATTTAGACTATTTCGGAAGCTGTTGGCAAAGAATCAACCTTCTCTAGTTCAAGGACAGGTCTTCAGTTTGCGAATGAACTAAACCAACCCTAACTGACTATCCGCTGGAAAAGTTTGACGAACTCCCCTAAGGGAATTTTCATTAAAAGCACGACATGGCGTATTAATTCCAACTTTTCCAAATGCTTTATACTTTAAAATAACCAACAATTCGGTTTATTATAAGCAAATAAACGGACAGGGACGGATCCAGGAATTTTCGCAGGGGGGGGGGGGTGGTTCATCAGAAAAAAATCTGAAAATGTACACAGGTTTTTTTCTCCGGGCACTTGGCCTCCGTAAAATAAAAAACTGGGGAAGGGGGGGGGGGGGGGGGGGCTGGTACCATATTCCAATAGGGGCGCTGTTCAAATTCGACGATTATTAACACTAGATTATAGAATGGTGTACCGTATTTTGAACAGGAGGACATTATATCAGTATAATTTTTTAGGGTGTCACACTCACAGCAGGGGGGGGGGGGGTGTTTCGCATTATTTTTTAGGAATTTGTACGATACTTTTTTTTGACAGAGCTGGGGGGGGGGGAGGGTTGGGTTGACAACCAACCCCCCCCGGATCCGCGCCTGAAACAAGTGACTTGTTTTGAGTGCGTGTAAAGAAACAGAATCGAATCATCTTCCCAATCTGTTTACCGAATTTGCCTGTGCTCATCGGCCGGTTCAAGTCGGATGGGTGCGCCCGATAGTCCGAAGGTTCTTTAATCCGAAGGTTCGGTAGTCCGAATGCACACATGACTATCGGGCTGCCACCGATATAAAACCGGATACAGCTAGCGATATCTCATTATGATGGGTTAATTTCATACAGCTGTCGACGCAAAATATAAACCACCATACCAGCAATTATTTAATGAAGAGCTAGGAGTTCGAAGAAAATTTGGTTGTCACAAGTTCAAGTCTCTTCAGTTATCTAAACTGACAGGCGAGATTCGTGTTTGAATAGGCAGTTTTTGTGTACCGCCCCATATCTCAATCTCTTTATAACCAGGGCAAGGTTTATGGTGTGACATGCACTTTGCAATATATCCGGCGGATGTAGCGTTTTGTGCGGATGCTTCATTGCAAATACAATAAATACAGTCGGGTAAACAAATAATAAACACTCAGGCATCCCTGTCAGACTACACATCATCTCTGAGTTAAATGAACTGGGGTAAGTTCGCGCAATCACACTGCCGCTTCATCGGTACCAAAGAACTGAATAATTATAATGCTTATCCAGGGAAATGTTAAACACTGGGGGAAAAAAATCAGAAATTTGCAAAGATATTTGTCTCACGATGATCACGCAATGCTCAGGTATAGAATGCCAAAGCGGCATAAAGTTAAAAACAATATTTACTATACCAAATACCCATTTTTGGGTTCAAAGACAATATCAAAATATTGTGCAAAAACAAAAAAACAAAAAAAACCCACCAAGTTTTCGAGCCACAAAACTAAATCCTTTGCGGACCAAATTTAATTCAAGACCAAAACTTTATTCAGAACCAATTATGTTGGTCTTAATCGCGTGAAATTATGGTGACTGCTCTATGTTCCGACACCCCTATGTGCCGACACCATTATGTTCCGACATCCCTATGTTCCGACAACCTGCACATAAGATTGTGTTACTCCCGGTGATGGTTAGGGTTAGGGATAGGGATAGGAATATGTGCAGTCGGTACATAGGGGTGTCGGAACATAGGGGTATCGGAACATAGGTTGAGAAGTCGGAACATAGGAGTGTCGGAACATAGGGGTGTCGGAACATAGGGGTGTTGGATCATAGGGATGTCGGAACATAGGTTGATTTGTCTGAACATAGGGGTGTCGGAACACAGGGGTGGCGGAACATAGAGGTGTAACCGAAATTATTGGTACCCCACAGTTTTGTACCTACTAGAGATGAGATGATAATGTTGTTTCGTTCCCCATATATAACAGATACTTGGAGTGCATGGAGTGAATGGAGCGACTGCGCAGTCTCGGGTGTTCAAAACAGGGATCGGACGTGCCTCGTGGATTCAGCAGCTAACCCGGGCTGTCCTGGTGAGAGCTCGATGACACGAGATTGCGGTCCAGGTGAGTCCTAAGGACTGCACAAGTATAAAAGCACAAATAAAACCTTAAAGGTATATATAATCAATTTCTTTTCATGCATTTTGTTCGTTCCCCAAAATGCCACCACTAAAAATCCGTTGAAGAATGTTCAAAACCTACCCTGTTGAAGTTTCAGCTCGATGGGCATTACTCTTTTCGAGAAAACAAGGAAAGGCCATGCACAGCCTTTTTGTTTTTTATCACGGAACACGATTTTGTCCCTTGCACTCTGTGGTCCCAAATATCAGTCTACTCTATTGACTGATCGTTGGAAATCACCTACAATTTCTTGATGTCTTCTAAAATTATGACATCAAGCCAGACGGAATAATTTCACAGGGAGTTTAGTACCATGCCGATCTGTAATCTAAGTAAGCTTTTTGATAATAATTCGGTGTATTACCTTTGGGATAAACGCAAATGATCCTACATGACTCCATGAGTTACTTGCGCGTTCATTCACAATCATGCATCCATGGGAACGAGGTTGTCGACTTAAGGGCGCACACCTGCTAGGCCTAAACCAATCCGCCGAGCTCATGAATAAAAGTTATACCCTCAAAAATTACATATTAGAGTTCTGAGAGCCATAAAATTGGGGAATTGAAGAGATATGGCAATGAGCATTTTGGATGCAATTGGACTCGAAAGTGGCGCGATTATGTTGTGGAGCGATCGTTTTTCAAGACGGCAACTTTTCTGCTTTGAGAAATATAGGGTCGTCTTCTTTGGGTGAGAATCTCTCGCAAAGTCAACTGGTCAACCCACCAAAAATTGAAAAGAAAATGAAAGATGACATGTTGGGAGTTCTGAGCATTATAGAAGTATGACCATTTAGCACTGGTGTCTATGGGAATTTTAATACAGGGTACCCCGGTGCATCCTTAATCTCCCGATACCTATATATGTTTTGTACACATAATCTGGTCTGTACAATTTAATATAAGGGCTGCATCCTGACTTTTCCAATATCGTGGAGGACAGACCATTATGTGAGCAAGATTCCCACTGAATTGATATTTTTTTTCCAATTTCTGTTTGGATCGATCCCGTTAGCTCGGTGGTCGAGTGGTAAGACATCTGCACTAGAAAGCAGGAGGTCGTGGGTTCGAGTTCCACCCGAGTGATTTTTTCCAACTTTCACTCGGGAGGTAACACACTGAGTACACAGTGTTTAAACGTCGGTGAAGGGCAAAACCTAATTTGAATTTCTGTTAAGTCCCGGAAATCACAGTGTATATACCAAAATATATCAACTGACACCCCTTCATCCCCCAAATACATTCGCAGTATTGGACGGAAGCTGGAGTGAGTGGGGCGAATGGCAGAATTGCTCTGTATTATGTGGTGTCGGAAACAGGGCGCGATATCGGACGTGTACCAGCCCTGCACCGCAGTTTGGAGGGGCTCCGTGTGACGGGACCAGCGAAGATTGGGAATCGTGCGATACCAATATTACTTGCGAAGGTATACAATGATATGGAAATGTCAACTGTCTGCTTGGTCTTATTAAATATCTGATATTGATACGCTTAAGCGTATTTTAAAAATAACACCTTTTTTCCACATGTTCAACCTTTCCCAATAGTTCATGGTTGTTGCAAGACAGCAACTTATTAACGCGGTACAAACTCATCAAGAGTGCGTTCGATTACTTCCCCCAGCTTACTCGAGCCTGGCTCCTCGCGTGATGACAGACATGCGCAGAGCTAAATAAACGAACGGTTTCGGGTGAAGTTTCGTGCAAGAGCTGGAAAGTTGAACTTTGACATGACACAGGCTGCATCAGAATCGACTGTCTAGAGCTAGGTCTAGGTCCGCGCCCATTAAAGATACGCGGGGACGCGCCGACAATAGACGTAGCCGTAGCTATGAAAGCCCGTTTCGGACACGGCCTGAGGCGCCCGCCGGACGTCACGTTGGCAGCCATGTTTATTGCAAGGCCTTATGGGATACTTACCCAAGTAACCGGCTTGGCGAGACGGTTACTTGGGCCAGGCTCGAGTAAGCGCGAGAAGTCACGTTAGAGGTAAATCGAACGCTGTCGCACTTGCACGACTGTAAGCGCGGGGGAAGTAATCGAACGCACTCATTCAGAGCTGTGGTAGAGATTTCGACCGCCACATTATGCTTTTTTATTTCAAGTAATCACAGCCAATTGAATTATTTTTTTGTTTAACTTTTTTAAAGCTGTGAATGGGCGTTGGAGTGAGTGGGGCGAATGGCAGAATTGCTCTATTTTCTGTAGCGTCGGTTACGTCACGCGACATCGAACCTGTACCAACCCTGCACCGCAGTATGGTGGGGCTCCGTGTAACGGAACCAGCGAAGACTGGCACCCATGCGATACTAACGTCACGTGCCTAGCAGGTGATTGTGCGATTTTTTATGCCATTTCTCAGATTTGGGTTTTGTAGCCGGTTCTGCTTCATTCATTGGATTACGGTTTACCCTTGGCTTTGGAGATGTAATCAATTTGCAGATTCGGAAACATCCCTTTACGATACAAAGCCAATGTTTGAAGTATTTTGTAAAGGGCCAGACACGAGGCCGATGCTGGAGACGAAGTCGAGATTTGAAAAATGCCCTCTGCACTCATGGGCAAGTTGGATCAAGGACCAATGGTTAACTAGTGGGTCACGGTTCCTAGCGCATGCGCGCTGAAGTTGAAATGCGAACGAGTCTAGTCGAACTATTGTAATTCAACGACACTGAGAAAATGGCGGCCGCACATCGGCTAATCAATTAGTTCAACACTTTGAAGTTTCTGTTTATTTACACAAATAATAATGAGTTCGTAATTTTGGACACCTTACATAATCGCCATCATAATTAACATCAAACATTGCACAACGGTAACAAAAGTGATAGAAGTGTACACTAACATGGACAAACTATGCCATGAAAATGAAATTTAGCACGCACAGTTTTCGTTTTTTCCCACCATTTTTGTTTATAGTTGGTCTCCTCTGCACTATGCTATGACCATTGCTATTGATAACCAACTATAAATCATGGCGCGACCAGGGCCCAATTTCATGGCCTTGCTAACCACAGAATTCCGCGCTTAACGATCACCATTTTGTGCCAACAGCGCTAGCAGAAAAAAAAATATGTAGTAGCCTGTACGTACAGATTCCTTAGTTACGGGATGTACGCATGCACAGAAGCCAAAATTCCTTGCTAACTCGTGAAATACGCTTGCCGTAAGCACAGAATTTTCTGCTATCATACTAAGAAGGGATTTTTCGCTATTAAGCAGAGCCAAGAAATTGGGCCCAGCCGAGGGGTAGGCTGGTTCTGACTATAGTTGACTAGATAGACTAGTCCAACCGTCGTCGACTAGCATGCGTTCGATCAGAGTTAGTCAAAACTATGGTCCTTGATCGAACTTGTCCCGTGCTATTCGTTCTTGGTGCTCGATAGAGCGCCCTCTTATGATTCGGTATGCCCATAGACGAATCCAGGCATGTGATCACTGTACACTCACGAGGCCCCCTTCAATGGAGAAATCATTGAGCACGCCATTGTACAAAGCAACTTCCCATTCGACTGATTATCTGACCATTAGCTAGCACAATGATTTCGCCATTGAAGGGGGCCTTCGTGATAGAATTGATAAGGTGCCCGGATTGATGCATTGTAAAGGCCCGTTCTAAACGTCGATGTAAAACAACTGGTTCTCTCAGCTTAACCTATTTCTGTGACGTCACACTATTGTTAAAAGTGTAGATTATTTGTACGAATGTACAGTTTACTGTAGATTATTTTACGTATCTACACTTTACTTTAGATCATTTTAAGAATCTACAGTTTTTGTTGTGAATAGCCTCTGCAAACGACTCCATGTATAAACGGGACTCAGGGGAAAGTCACAGACCACTTTAAAATGAAAGAAATGGACTTTTCAAAGGTACTTAACAATGTACGAATTCCGAAAGATTTTTTTTTTCGAACGAATTTGACATGTACCTGATTTAAAGAAATAGCCTTCTATTTTAGTTCTTTGTTTTTTAATTACACACAATGTTCTCTTTGGATTTTTTTTCTTCAATTTGCCGAGCTGGTACTTTTAATTCTATATGGTGGCGATTATCAATTTCTACTTAAGGTCGAGCGTAAAGTATTCTTCTTAATGACTTTTTAATTCCGTTTCTTTTAATTTTTAGTCTTTTTAAATTACAAAAAAAAATTATTATCTTTAATTCTTTGTTTAAATTTTGACTGACTTTTTTTTTATCGTTGTCTTTAAACTCGCATTAAAAAAAAAAGAATCAGTGGATATCCCTTGGTTAAAGTTTATGTTCACATCTAGTCTTAACCCATTTTATTTTAGTTTCATCATTATTTCTCAGTCTATTTATCACTGACCAGTGAAAAAAAGACCATTAAACGGAAGGACGATCCTAAAGAGAATGGACGAATAACTTAAGAAATCAAATGAAACTTACCAAATCAATACTTCTCAGAATATATTCCACAGTAATGTAGTTTCCAAACAAAGTTATTTCCTCTGACGAGTGAGATGGTGATATTCCGATGTGTACTCCATATAATAAATATCAAGATAAACAATGTGGTTCTCCATTGAATGGGCAATGACACATGGTTCCACAAATCAAAGACCTCTGTGCACAAATGAGTCGCTTGTCAAACTTTTTCTTGCGGTTGGTGTTAAAACTCCTCATAGCTAGCAGATGAAATATAGCATCAAAAGCATGTACATGTAATAGTTTTCAGAATCCAGTATACATCCCGTGGCTGTAACATACATGTATAAACTCCATTTGGCTTTGGGAGTAAGGAGTATAGACATTGTGTTCGCACTATACACCAGTAACTATCACTAGCTTTCCAGGACAAATGCACTGCCTGCATGTGATGAACGAAACAGAAGATGTGCACCCATCCGAAGGGTTAACAATAGCATCTTGTCACGATGAAAGCGCAGGGCCAGGCAAAGTTGAATAGATTGTATATATTACGAATCTACACTGATTCACAAATGTGGAGATTGTGGAAAATCAGGTGTCTTATTTGCATAAACTATTGTTGTTTTAGGTTAAGTCGGAGAATAGACTCAGAACTGTAGATTCGTGCAAGACGTCCATTCTCCTTAACAGAACCACACAACAAAAAAGAGATATCATTCACATGGTGTTACCGCAAACCTCCCATTTTTTGTCCACCATTGTAAACCTACAAGTCTCATATATAGGCCCGTTTGTTATTTCATAAAAGTAATTATAGTTATACATAACAATTTATGTGACGTCATCATGACGTCATCACGTGACATGTGACGTCATAATTCAAGGCCCTATGAGAATGTAATCACATAGTATATGCCACCATTTACTATAAACAGAACTACATATCCTTCCTTGATGGAACCTATACTTGAAACTTTACATGTCACACGTCACAAAAAAATACCGAAACAGCCCTGTGTTTGTCCACAAACATAAATCTAGTTTCAATTGTTCACCTAGTTTTTTAAAGGTTTTTCTTTGTATAAGTTTTAGTTTGTTCTTAAATTTTAACTGGTTCATTTTTATTTCTGTGAAGCGCCTTGAGCGTCAATTTTGACGGATTTGGCGCTATACAAGGATTAGATATTATTATTATTATTATTATAGGTTTTCCCGGCCATTTTAACTCTTGTATCACACGAATTCCCTATATCGATACTTTAATTTCGTCCTCGAACATCACCAAGCTCAACTCTCAATTTGAATTTCAAAAAGCCACCACTAGATTTCATTTAAGGTTCAGTATAGTTCAGCATTCCGATTCGTCCAAAATCTTTGAAATTCGTCTCGTGAAGCAATCGGCGTTGAATTGAAAAAGCAAATTCGTTTTTTGTCATTCGTTTTAATGTTCTTGTCGTTACATTTCGTCTCTGGTGACTTAAAACGTTACGATTACAAATGTGCCCGTCTTTGGACTTGTTTGCGCATTAATTAAATGTCATAAGTGCCTATTGTGAAATGTCAATTCCTGACTCTAATGTTAATTGTGAAACACAGAAATAAAAAATCATACCTTACAGCTAACTACTTCTATTTATACATACAGTAAATACATGTTGAATTATCATTGTTTTAATACGCATAATTCTTCAAATAAGTCTAAATATTGGGCGCATTTTCTAATCGTATACGATTTAGGTCACCAGGGACGAAATGTAATGACAACAACATGAAAACGAATGACAAAAAACGAATTTGCTTTGTCAATTCAACGCCGATTGCTTCACGAGACGAATTTCAAAGATTTTGGACGAATCGGAATGCTAACAATTTGAATTATACTGAACCTTAAATGAAATCTATTGGTGGCTTTCTGAAATTCAAATTGAGAAGTGAGCTTGGCGATGATTGGGGACGAAATTAAGGTATCGATATAGGGAATTCGTGTGATACAAGTGTTAAAATAGCCGGGAAAACCTATATTATTATTATTAAGCAACAGGTAGGGCCTACCAGAAATACTTTAAAATCTTTCGATTATGAGGATAATCTAGATTAATTAAGATGCCAGTTAGATGACTCTGACCAAGACTGATAAAACTATCATAGGATAGGCCTACCGGTACTAATGTGATTACGTCTTGATCCGATCCGATTCAGTTAATGGAGGATGGTCCGACTGGAGCGAGTGGTCCGCATGCTCGGTGACCTGCGGCGGTGGGGGTCAAACCGTACGCACGCGCAGTTGCATCAATCCCGCACCGGAGCATGGCGGACTGGACTGCGTTGGGGACGAGGTTGAAACGAATTCATGCAGCTCATCTGCTTGCCCACGTAAGTTTATTTGTTTTTATTTATTTATATTTTTTTTGCAATATACCGGATTTTTGTTTTACCCAATTAAAAAAAAATCATGAAACCTATCAATTTTTCTAAAGGTTAGATTTTTTTTCAAATCAAATTAATAAAAATACGATAAATTCTGTTTTTATTGATTGGGAAAACTGGGTTCTGGTTCGGAAAGTGTCAATAACAGTATCGATCAACTAGAAAGCACTCAGAGAGCGCTAACCTCCACCGATGCTAAACAATTCCCGCCATATTGTTTGTACACCCCAAATGTTTGGTGCAGTACCAATCAAAAAATTAAACAAAATAAATAAATACTCGCATAAATGGATGGAAGAATCCTAAAAAATTTTTTTCTGGATCCAGACCCAGATCCGGATCACTTCCAAAGTCGAATCGATTTGTACTTGTATGAGGACCAACCCAATTGTTTTTCATGCAAATCCGTCCATATTTTTTTGAGTTATTATTGTTAACAGACAAACCAACCAACCAACCAACAAACCAACCAACAAAATCCGATGAAAACATAACCTCCTTGGCGGAGGTAACTACAAAAAATAATATTTGGAAGGGCAATTATATTGACAGGAATCACGAAATAAGGGCACATCTTTTCACTTATTGCTATAATACTTATTAAGCAGTGGAAAAGAGCATACTCTTCTATTTATTTTGATGTATTAATCAGGTACAGTAATCTGAATATAATTATGCAGGTGTTATAATATAATGTATGTCACACCTCTTGTCAGCTATGTGGTCGGAATGGAGCTCATGGACCACGTGTTGGGCTGCGGAGTGCACGGCCGAGATGAACGCCGGTCTCAAGTTTCGATCGAGGGTATGCCAAGGAGGTACCAATGAACAATGTCCCGGACAATTCATGGATAGGACAGAGTGTACACAAGAGTGCTAATGAAGTTCGGTCAACTGAGTGGATAGGGATTGCAGGCGATTCCAAATACAGTGCGCCACCAAGAGGTCCACGGAAAGCAGTGCATTGTGGGAGACGGTCGACAGTAGTCAATATTCACAATGCAGTGCGCCACACTGGGTTTTGATACGGAGAGTCTATTTTTTTTTTTAAGTTTACGGTCGACACAACATGGCATGGCCCATTTAAATGAGTGTCTGTAAGACTGTAGGCAACTTGAGCTAATCATTGTCAAAGATTGGGGCATAGCGTTCTGCCGCCTTACAAAAAAAGCACAATATTGATAAAAAGAAAAGATAGGGGTAACCACTTACCAGATACTCGATTCATACGCTTACGAAACTACTCACTACAGGATAAAAACGAACAATTTGAAATGTCCCGCGCTGCGAATTTGTCGACCATCTCCCACAATGCACTGGGCAATATGAACTCTCCGTGGCAAACTCTTGGTGGCGCACTGCGCAGTGAATTTCGAATTGCCCGAATTTCGATGGCGCTGGAAATTAGAAATTGTTAGATTTTCCAGTCAGTAGTTTAAATTTCGTAACCGTATGATTGGAGCATCTTTTTTTTTTGCCACTTTCATGTGATTGTATTTGTGAGCACAGCCCTGTGCCCCCATCTTCAATTGATTTTCTAAAGTTGTCTACTGCAATTCGTAGAATCCGCAGCAAATGGACCGTATTTTTGTCGATAATGGGTGCGTTCGAGTAGCTCACCCGGATCGACTCGGGTAAAGACAGATATATATTAGCCACCACGGCCGGGCTAATGGAACGCTCAACTGCGGGACATCACGATCCTCACGTGACGCCCGTAGCCGTGGCCGTAGCCACTGACAAAACGCCCGTTTCGTGCTGGCTCTTCGTTTGGGATTTACTGTTTTTACTCGATAAAGTTGGGCTGGAATATTATACCCTCTAAAATCGCAATGAACAATTAAATTTACTGGGCTTCAGACTCAAGTTCAAGTTGTCCGGCCGCCATGTTTGACCGTTTCTAGGGATGACCAACGCATGCGTGTGGCGTGTATCCACCAGTGACTCTGCTCACGAGCAGGGTCTGTGGTGGCTGGCCCGGGTGAGCCCTAAGAATGACGTCAGAGCTAATCGAACGGCACGGGGCTGACCCGTGTCGACCCGGGAGAGCTAAACGAACGCACCGGTGTAAACTTGAAAAATGGACTCTCCATGGCAACCTCATGGTGGCGTGCTGTATTGGGAATTGCCCGTATTTGATGGCGCTGCTGATCTTAGAAATTGTCTAAGCACATTTACTAACATATGTTAGTGTTTTGTACATAATGTAATACGACTGTCCATTATATTGTTTATACGTAACTGCTATATTTTTGTTAAATTAAGTTTTTAAGTAACACTTGTATTTTCTTTTATCCAACATATGCGTATTAAAAGTACATGTATTGTTATCCAACATTATGATTTGATGAATATGAATGCAGCTGTCTTTTCTTGGAATGGCTTTAGTCCAACCTCGAAACTTTTCTTTATCAATCCCTTCTCTGCTGTTCAGGTGATTAATATTCAGAAAAAAAACCACTTTATTTACAAGAAATTTAGAAATGTACGAGATTGACAAACAATCATAAAATAAATATGTTACGGACTCACATAATTTATTTGTATTTAATCAATGTGACCTCCTGTCACAAAAACAGTAAGTTGTAATTTGTTACTGAAGAGATAAACAAACAATCTCAAATTTGAAACACGTTCGTAATTTTGCGATCTTTGGTACAAAACGAAAATGCGGAAATATAAAGTTAAAAGGCCCATGTAATGACATGTTTTAAATGCGGTTTAAATGTGTCCCATTTAACCTTATTTTTTTGATTTTCATTTTGCCTTCTTTTTAAGGGCATTTTGGTAACCTTTTGGTTTTTATGCTAATGCAAAGTTGCATATTCATGAGCAAAACTGTGATGTCATTTCAGGCGGAAAACTCAATGTTTTGGCTATTTCAGAACAAAAATTTGCCAGAACTTTGATATTTTGCTGACGCAGATTTTCTTTTCTTTATTGATTTGTTATTTCAGTACATGACAGTAAGCCAATGAGCAAAGTTTTCTCACGAAGTGACGCCGTTTTCAATGAACAAATATTGGGTTCGCGCGCAATTGGAACAGAATACCCCTAAACTGAAGAGTGTCTTCCTGAAGTGATATCACAGCAGCAACAACACCCTCATTAACCGAAGAAGCATAGAATTTTATTTTATTATTATTATTTTTTTTTTAAAAGAAGTGCACTTTTCAATAAGATTACCCAAAAAGGGATGTCAAGTTGTTTTCATACATTTTAAATGAGTAGAAACTTTATTTAAATTCAAATTTATGTCATGGGCCCTTGGAAATCATTCGTTTATTAGATTAAAAATGAACATAGTTTTGACAAATTTTTGTTTCAGCTGTAACGCAATTTAATTCGCATGACAGAAACTGACCGTTAACACGAATGTGTTTTGAAGGCAGTAATTTCAGCGAACAAAATACATTATTTTCTTCAGATATGTACTAGCAATATACACATACAGTTAAACACAAGAGAATTTGAGCAAAAACTCTTAAATACTTCAAAACATGGGAATACAATGACCAATTATAAAATTACAATTGTGTATCTAGTAGTATAACTGAGGATGACGTGACTTTTACACAAACGATAGCATAAATAATTTGAATAGTTGAATTAATGATTCATAGAGGGCGTTACACAGCTGCTTAACGAGATGCCCAAAACTATAACTAGCGACTGATGACCATGCCAAAAACCGGCTGTATAACTGTTACTGTACTAAAGAAGTATTGTTTTATCGTACAAACTAAAATATGTCATACTACCGTGCAAATAAAACTACAATCTTTCCTACACCCGCATTCCACTGCGGACATCAATCTCCTGGCTTTCAGATACACTTTTCTTTGGTATGTAATAAAATAAAGTCACCTTTTTTTTTACAATAAAAATACAATTTACTTTAAAACATGACCGACTTCACACTCAGACAAATATTCTTAAGATACCCTTTTAAGATAATTTAGATAAGATCATCGGTGTTGGTGCTGTACTAGCTTTGTAACCATCCGGGTCTCAATGCAGCTCGGCTCCCCAATAAAATACCTTTTCTTCTTCCACAGGCCTTATACGCGAGTCGGCCATATTGAATTGAAAGTGAGGTCAAATCCTAAGTTTTGGAACTTGCGAGGAGAAATGAAAGCAAACTAATTTCTGATTAATTCCAGTCTGCTTCAATTAAGAATATCAAATATCATAATCATAAACATTCCCTAATGTTAAGCCAGATAAAAAAAAACACGACAGTAAAATAAGGCTGCATTATGCCTGCATCAGTCTGGCACCATCTTATTCAACAGTTAACAATTAATGAAATGCATTCAGGGAACTCGACAATAATGGCCACAACTCGTGCATGATGCCCACGGCTGGCCTGACCTGAATCCTACAATGAATAAAATAATGCAGGTTGGTTTTAATTGGAGACGAATTCATTTTTAAAGGCTTTTAGGGTTTTCGTGTGCAGTCATTGATTAATAGTTAATCCATTTATTACTTGATTGATTAAACCTCTCTTGAAAATGGGTTGGAGAAGTAGAAGATACTTTCCCAAGACCGGTACTCAGACTTTATGTGAAGGGAGAACAGTGACAATTCCCCGACGAACATGGAGACCGTCGCTAGCCCCAGGCCAAGCCCGTCCCGTTCGGCCGGCCTGCTGTGAAGTGTTGGATGGAAAGCTAGTAGCCCAGCACGCTGCATGCTGGTAACGTGCAAAATTCCCAATCCAGGAACAACCCAACACAGCTATCCCCGTCGCAGACTCTGGTTCTTGAGGTGATTCCTCTCTCCCCACAGGATGTGGCGGAGCAAGCCGACCATTCACTCCAAGCTGACCAGCCACCTATAGCTGAAAACAAAATGCAAACAAAATGTACAGACTCATAAATATCAATAATTGACCAAAATCATATGAAAGCCATAGGTCCAACTCTCCCCTTCGACCAATAGCCCTTATATGCGTATGATGTCTTCAGTCAAGGGCGGATCAAGGCCAACGGGGGCCACCCACCCCCACCCCACCCCCATCCCCACCCCTCCCCCCCCCAAAAACCCCACCAAACCAAAAAAAAAAAAAAAAAAAAAACCAAACAAGAGTCCCGACCCCCCCCCCTTTTTAAAGGCCGTTGCAATAAAGGCAGGCACTGCGTACACTACCATCTTTTCCTAAAATAGAAATTGGTCAAAGTGGTCAAAAATTGCCTCAGATCGCACCACAGAGCACCTACAATCCAAAACAATTCTGGGGCCCTCAAGCGGGCCTCGAACCCCTCGCCGTAATATTTTGGACCCACTTTTCGGGGTCCCATTTTTTTTGGCCCCCACTCCCCCCCCAAAAAAAAATGTGTTCTGGATCCGCCCTTGTCATCAGTCCTAAAGAGAGATTCACAACATGACCTCACTATAGCTGAGGTCAAATCTCGCATAAGGTCATTGTGGGAAAAATCAAGATCACGTAAACGAAATGCAGGTCCACGAGGAACCAACCCAAGTGCGTACATTTTGACGGGGTAGACCTTATGCGTAGCAACCAGGGCCCAATTTCATAGCACTGCTTTAAACAGTAAGCAGAAAAGTTGTGCTTACTATAGCAGAAAATCATGCTGCTGCTTAAGCACTATTTCATGCCGTGAATGTGCTTACAGTTGCGCGCGCATGGAGATTTCTATTGATACGTCACTGATTTAAGCAAAGTTTTCTTCAAAGCTTAAGCCTGCTTTTGCTGTGCTTACTGCTTAACAGTCCCTATGAAATAGATGGAGGCTCGATAAGCACAAAGTCGGCTGTTAAGCAGCGCTATGAAATTGGGCCCAGCTTAGAGAGAGCAATGCCTTTGTTTTGCTGAGATATGCATGCGTGAACCTTTTGTACATCATTGCTACTGAATTAAAATAACAAAAGATGACCTCTAAGATGGCCGCCATGCATACTGGTTTGTATACGAAGGCGAAATGACACCAGAGCTAGACGTGTCAACAACGAAAAAAAAAGGAAGAACACGAATCGAAGGCAAATGAAAACAAACAAAAAACGGACACACCAGGCAGCCCGCATGACGAATAGCTATGTGTACACAAAAACAAAATTGGGATTGTGCATTTTCATTGGCAAAGTTTGGAGAATGGATGGTTGTTCCTTGAAGCAACTTGAGTTCGGGAATTTATCTAAACGTGTCGTATCAGCTTGGATCAAGGTACTGTCATTTTACCAGAGAATGTTTAACAAGCCTGCCATTGAACATAATTCATGTTTCATGCATGAATGCCACTTCATTTGCTCCCATTTCGTTGCGTAAAAAATATGCGCATGACGAAGACAGGAATTGGAAACCGAGTGAAATGTCACCCTTGGCGAACACCGCCCTCAACTGGCCGCTTACGTAGAGAGGAAAGACAGTGCCACCAAGCGATGAATGTCCAATATTAGCGAATCTGCCCAGAGAGCTAGCAGGCAAGCAAAAGATGAGTTCTGAGAAGAGAAACCATAATTACCAGCACAGCGTGGTAGGTTGCAGGGACGAGTCCTCGTGGAGGGGCCGCGGCAGGGCCGGCCGCCATTTGACGGGGGAGGATCGGTGCAAGTACGGGTACTCGTCTGGAAGGAGTTGCAAGGGTCGACAAGGTCGCACTCGGACCATTCACTCCAGCCAGTCCACCGACCGTGCACCGGGCGAGGCGCTTGAAGAGAGAGAAACAGAAAGGAGGAACGATCATTTCATGACGGCAGCAGCTGCTAGAGATGGGCATCTCAGCCGAGGAATACGGCCCTCAAATCCTCAGCCCATTTTGAAACTTGAAATCAAATCGAATATAACTTGTTGTATATCTTGGCTTGAAGGCTCGGGACGTGTTACTGATATTTCAGGCATGCTAGGCCTTAATGTGTATACAGATTGGTTTAGATTTACAGAAGAAACCTTTGAAAATAGTAGATGTTTCAAACATATTAAAGACAACTTCTTTCCATTCTGGTGGCTCAACGGATACTCAGACCAAGAGAATATTTCCTCAAATTGATGACAGGACTCTTAATTGGTAAATTGGTTGTGAAAACCCCCCAATTAAACCATTATTTATAGACATGCGAATTGTTTGCATTCGGTTCTGTTTTTTGTTTATTTTGATTTTGTTTTACATAATTTTTGACAGTTACTTAATCTTTTGTTTTTAAATGATGGCAGTTTATCCTTAGAGGGCGCCCTCATTGTTATGTACACAATTCTTAAATTTCATGTTACTGTCATGCCCAGCCTCCGACAAAATAACTCCTTGTAGCAAGACTACGGTATGTATTATTTCCATTTCCAAAGACAACGCCATCAGTACCTAGACAGGTAACATTGGTGTCGCATTGGATAGTCTCCTCCTCAATCGTCTCGTTGCAGGCATTCTCTGGTAGACAAGTTCGCCTTCGTGTGATATTACCGGCTCCGCATAGTGCTGAGCAGTTCGACCACGATCCCCACTCACTCCAAGTCAAATTATCTGCCACATCAAAACAGCCACAAAACACTGACTTACTGAATGAACCATAACTTTTTTTTCAAATATGAAGAGCAGACAACATCTGGCAAAGCTGATACATGTAGTTCAAGTAAACAAATGCATCTGATGTGAGTGTTAATGTTAGAAGCTCGATCGTGACGATATTCCAAGTCAGGAAACGCAATCATTGAAAGGTATTTTATCATGATTCTTTGCATTTACTCAAAACAATCGACAAACCTGCATTAAACCTATTTCTTTGCGTGTTTGTAATTACTGTCCAGAGATCAGGGCGCCCTCTACTTCTGGACCCAGCATATTGCGGGCGCCCTCTATCCACGCCAATACGATTTCGTAGTAGCCATTGGCGGTAAAGTGAAATGGGCTAGACTATTTAAAAGCATACTTGTTTCGTACCATTTGAGAGTTGCTGTACATCCACGCGTTCCATCGACCCCAGGATGGGTTCCAATGACTCCATGATGGAGTCAACCCCTCCGCCTATCGGCCTGGGAAGTTCAGGCTCAGGCTCAAGACAAGCATCCAGGCACCGTTTCCCGTTGGATTTCTCGGACCAGCCACTGCCGCCCAAGCGGCAGCACTCCTTAGGATCCAAGACGGTCACGTTAGCGGGAACCAGTATCTCGTCAGTGCACTTGCCCCTTCGCCCGATGGGTAAACGCTGGCGGAAGCAGTGGGCGTTACGATCTGGTGGTGTGAAACCAAATGGCAGTGCGATGAGCTGAGATGTTTCTGGTCATTGTTACTAAGAGTCTTACTGGGGAGAACACTGATCGAAGCCGGCTCAGTGACGGTAATGGCACAGACAGTTTGAATGGAAACAAGGTGAGTTACGATCAAAACAGGCGTACTTCAACTGCCACAGATCATCAATGTCAACAATCTCAAAGATAACCCAATGCGACAAGTGTACGACGAGATGAACCAATCACAGCACAACAAAATGATCATGTGACGTTGACAAAATCTAAAACTGCACTGTCTACATGTGGTAACAAGGGTAATGGGATATAACGCATATTAGCAAAACATCCACGCGGGTTGCTGGGGCATCTTTCTTGTATATCGTTTCTCACTTGACGTTTAATGTAAACGTTGATGACATTATCCTATACGGATAATGAGATTGTGGCTGTAATTTGAGGGCGACCATCTTTGTTTTTAATTTTAGCATGAGGAATTAAAAAAAAAGATTAATAGTATTTTGCATTCGTGAAAGATATTCCTGAGTTCCTTATGTTGGCCACATGTCAAGATAAAAACCACAACTGGCCGCGTCATGACCTTCAGTACCAAAAGTTGAGTTATTCTACAACTTCCGACAAACACGGAAGTCTCCAGCTCTGAAGTAAACGCTAAAATTATCACAGTCAACTAAGTTTCGATCAAAACAATGAAAGCTGCAAAACAAGGATACAGTTTTGGTTCTTGTCCTACCATTACTAATTTCTGTAAGAGTGGTCATATCTCACACTTAATTGGCCGTGATTTGGAAAACACAGAAATGGCGTTCAAAACTGGAAGTATATTCTTGAGGGAGTCTAAACTTCACTGGCTACTGTAAGCCGTGTCCGATCGCGGAATTCGTGTCTATGGCTTCATTTCCATTTATGTCAATTGGCACCGTGACACTACGGGGACTAGCGAGCCTAAAGAGCCCATGTCGGAAGTCAATGCGCACACGGCCGAATAGACTTGCGAGCATAACAGATCTGGAGCTAAAGTGATTGCCAGTACATTGAATTATTAGAAAGGGGCATTTGAGTTTTACGTTCCTTATTTATCCTTACCGATGTATTACAAGCAAAACATTCTCTCATGTCTGTCACTTTTTTTTTTCTGAAAGTGACCTCAACTCCGAAATCGGTTTAAAGAATTATTACAGCCCGAGTTTTCTATAGTTACTTTCCCATCTGCACTGTGTCTTAATCGCACGAAACGATTAGACTTGGTACAAGACTGATTCCTGCTCATAACAGTTGAACAGTTTTGTCACCTGCCCTACAGTTCAGTCCGGCATACCCAAGACTGTAAAAAGGCCTGTTATGTACTTCAGCAGTGTACTTTAGCAACACGAACATACGAGCCGGTCCGTCATCGTACACGCGCTTCATGTATGCATAAAAGGCCGACGTGCACATGCGTACATTGCGCGTACGGCCGATCGGACCCGGATACGACATACAGCGATCCGTTCAGTCGAACAAGTCGGCCGAGGCTGATCCTCGTGTGGCAAATAGATCTAGTCCGGCTTGTATCCAGTCTAACCATAACACGACCACCACTGGCCTGATGAATTTCAGAACCATCTGGACCAGAGTACGAGTTCAGTGGTGAAGGTCAGTGTGAATCATAAAATAAAATGTGTCACGTGACTTTGTTTACCGGTACCGGTTGTCATCCGGATTTGCCTGATTTATATACATGGGTGACCGAAGGCAGAGAGTGCATGGGATAATCTTATGATTCAACAGAGGATTTAAAATGTCACGATATCCATTCCAGTTGTATACTTGTTAATTATTTTAGGCGGCTCTGCAAATTCTCCCAATATCTTGCTTTGTGAAACTTCCACAGGTGAATTGCTGCCAAATTCACAAAACGGTGAGGAAGAATTTGGGTTGGCCCGAGCATGGCCTGAGAGAACCGGAGGCACCGTCAAAACAAAATCTTACTCAATGGAAATGATTTGCTTAATTGATGAGCTCTCCATTGGTATGAGAACCATGCCGACTGCCAATAGTCAGAAGAAACCTATCCTCCAGTGGGATGGCCCCGTGCCCCTAAAAGTGGGAAGGGTGCGGCAGAGTTTCACATTGTAAACAACAACAATACGATTGAAACACATCCCAGGATGTGTTTAATAAACATTCAAATCCAAAACACATGATTGATAAACTAACTGTGGCCGTTCATTATAGCGCTATAAATGCGGGGGGGGGGGGGGACCTGATCTCGAGAAGTTTTAGCGGCCAAGTTTATGAAGCCAAAATTGACACGAAGTTTGCCAGTCAATGCATGAGTTTGACAGGGATCTTAACTTGTGAATAAAACGTAGGACCGGCCCTCCGCCAAAATCTCTCGAGGATTGAGTCCTATTCACCTCGGATGTTGGTCATTTTCTAGCATGGGTGTCCTTTCAGACAATGACAATTTTGGCAATATTTCTCAAGCATGGCGAAAAGTTCTCAGGCATTGTAACGTGTTTGGTGTCGCGTGAAAAAGGGTTGAATTAATATTAGCGAACGCAGGTTACCACTGCCATGTGATGTGTAACTGCTTGCCAATGTTTTCCATCTGATTGTCGCGTAGCACATGAAATTTACATGGCAGCATTTTCTGATTATCACTGATATCGTACAAAGTCCAAGTTTGTTTTATATTTTGCTTAATGCGAATCGGTGACCTTGGGCACTGAGTTGAAGGAATATCGATAGTGAGAAAGGCTTGCTTTTATGTACAGTTATGAATCATAATAACAATGACCGGATTTCAAGAAATTATTATACTATCTTACATGAATCATGCATAGGCCTACATGGCATAATGAAGTTGTCTTTGTTCTTGGCACTTTGCCAACTATATAGGTGACAAAAACTGCAGTAGAAGTAGTACTATCAGCAGATCGCATCGTAAAAAAAACCTATTTATTGTTTATTTAAATAATATGTGTAAACATTCACTTGGAACAAAAACTCTCCTTGTTTCACATCTCCCCGTGAATGTCTGAGTTGTATCACTCCGTGTGACCATGGTGTGACACGCTATATTTCCGGTGAAATGCTGCCGGTGTATTAAGGAATGCCCGTATTAAGTTCCATTGATTCATGATCTGTTGAGCTGGCAATCCGGCTCCCATGACAAAATAAGCACCGGCCATAAATTGTATCTCTTGAATATTATATAGCCATTCCCCATCTGTGGCTTTATTATTAAGCGTGCGTTTAACACTTCCATTTTAACTGACGGCTGTCTGGTTGTCTTTCCACACAACACAATAATTTACGGCCAACACGTAATAAAACAAACACGAATACGACTACATAGTTTAGAAACACAACAGTAATATAAATCACGATGTGTCTTAATATCAGGCCAGGTTTTGCGAAGGTAGGGAGTTTGCGTTGCTGTTTAAGTATGCACCATGGCGTTTAATTATAGACTTTCTCTTTTCATTCCTTTTCATAATCATAAAGCTTAAAACAAGGAAACAAAACGTCTCGATCAGATAAAATTTACGGTGGCACCAGGTGACAAATCTCTTTTGTGAGTTTGTGAGTTTCTGAAAAGAACCGGGGAAATTCAATGCGTCGGACAGTCCTGCCGTCGGCAGGAGACTGAGGGATTCCAACGGTGAAGGGGAGTTAATATGCAGTGGTACTGGAAGCAGTGAAGTGGACATGTGAATGATGCAAACACATTTCAATGAAGTAAACAAACAAGTAAACAAACACACAAACGAACAATTATCAAAGAAATACAGCTGAGCCTCAAGCCAAGAAATTCAGCACTCCCAAAATTCGCCAACTAAGGCAAAATAATGTTCCCACATCAGTTGCTTGGTAAAAAAAACACACAAAAAACCCGGCTTTTTACCAAACTCGCTGAAGAGCAAAATTTATTTTGCTTTTTGAGAATCATCCATATTCGTCGCCACTACTTTGAGAGGCAACAGACATTTGAAAGCCAATAGGCCAAGTATCTGAAATACACCAAATGAAAGATAGTAAGGGGGAAAAAAGCTCAGATACCTTGTCAAGATAAAGTACGTGTAGGCCCTACTCTCTTACCTGGTGCTGATAACACTGATGTCGTAGCCATAGCTAGCAGTAATATGCACAGAGTCATAGACAGTAGTGAAGTCGTAGCCAATGAAGCCATTCTGAGTACAGTGCAGTTTGATATCGTGAGGTCCGTAAGTTTTGGAGGGCTAGCAGCAGACGTGTGGTCCCGAATCTACAACAAATCGTCAACGACAAACACCGTTCTATAAGAAAAAATCCCGTGCTGAGTTAGTTCTCTCGTGCGTTTCTGCTCGAATGGACCATTCCAGCCACTTTATATAGCTGTACAATTTTCGTTAGCCTTCTACACTCACGTACGCACGTAAATATACGTCCGTGCATGCCGAGCTTGCGCGAACGTTCGTTATTACAGATGCACTTCCGCCAGTGGCAAATGCTTATGACGTAAGTGCTCGCACACGCGCACAACCCGTCCAATCATAACCCAGCTGACCGCTTCGCATGGTGCGGACTTCCGGTGGGATACGGCCATTGGATAATCGAAAGATAATGTTATTTGTTGTAAAGTAGTTATATATGCATTCTTAGTTATCGAAGGCTTGAGGATGTTTCCTGAGGCAATAACAAGAAGTATCTCTTCCTGTGCCTTAAGGCTCTTGTGTAGTAACATTATTTTCAAGTCCCCATATTTCCATTTATTCCCATGTCCCCTTTGAGCGTTATTAGCAATGTTAGCTCGTGTAGCTTATATTCTTTGTTGCTGTTTATTGACGATGAGTCAACACATTCTTAGAGAAACCTTTTCTTTCCCGATGACGACGTATCGAAGAATCCTTCGTCTTTATAAAAACAATGAAAGAACCGCAAACTTGTTGTTTGAGTAAATCACAAGATGGTCCGTTCGAACCAAAGACCGAAGGCGAAAAAGAGGAGAACTGAACGCAAATCCAATTTGATAAGGGATGAATTGATAATCTTTTTTTTGTTTTAAATAAAACACGAAGACGCAGTTTGGATTATTGGAGTAAAATCCTAATAATTCAAAATCGTTTTTTTTTACAAATAGATTTTAGTTTGAAAAATGTTTTGCATTCTCACGCATTTCGTATCGGGGGTGTCACATTTCATTATATCATTCTCTGAATTTCAACTTCGAATGACTGCGATATTCTCTTAAAATTGAAAATCTATGACGGTAACTGACGTTCAAACATTCCATATTAGTGATTGAAAGGTGACCTGCTTTCGCTAAATCCAAGGAATTAACAACACATTAAACCCATTGTTTCGTTATCATTATTCCGAGTAATGTCAGTGCATTAAAGCTCGCATTACTCAGGCCCGTACGCTGGGGAGAAGGAGGGGCGCTCGGGGGTTTCGAACGTACACTCCCCTCCTCCGTTTGCCGATGACATCCGCTTCTCCCCCCCCCCGCCCTTTATCGTTGAGATCATGAATGTTCCTTTGGGTTAGCCCCCCCCCCCACCGCCCCGCCTTCGTCTCGGGTCACGGATGGAATGGGCTTACTCTTGACTGTGATTCTCGTGATGTTTTTTTGGCTCTTAAGTCGCCGTGATTTTGTTGCATAAGAAAACAAAAACAAAAACGACCACATTTGATTGAAGGCCAACCGGAAAGGAGTGGTCACTAAAACCGGAAGACGGGGATAAGGGTCAAACCAATTTTATCCTGGTTTTGAAGAGTAAACCGGAATGAGATAGGGCATTCGACTTTTGGCTGTACCAACATTATCAGTGAGAAACCTCTGTCGTTTTTAATAGGGACAGATAAACATAATTAGCTGGCTTTATGGTTCGAAACGTGCCAAAGAACCTCAGCCAGATTTTAGAATAAATTAATGGGGAAATCGATTGCAAAAGCAACACCATCAGAACAAGAATTTCTATAAGCAGCTTAATTATATCGGAATGATTACCTTTCGGCACTTTAATCTTTAACTTTATATTCAAGGGACGAAGGGCAACATTAGCTCTGTGTATATCACTGGATGAGTATGATAAAGTTTGCAATGAAAAACTTAGGCCTATCAAAGCACGTTTTCGTACATTTGGTGAACTGAACCCAACAGAACAAAATCATTTACGATTGATTTGTACATATTTATCATCTTGTGTCGTTCTTAGGCATACAGATATTAATGTACAGGGGCGGATCTACCTTTCCGGAAACGGGGGGGGGGGGGGTTGAGGGGAGGGGGTTGAGTCGGCACGCCCTGCTAGGGGGTCCGGGGCGTAGTCCCCGGATTGTTTTTTGAAATCTACGATGATTTATCTTGGGAGGAAGGGGGGGGGGGGGGGGCACGTGCCTTCAGCGGATATCCGTACCCCCGAGTGCCCCCCCCCTCCATTTCAAACATTATTCAACGGCTGAAGAATCCCCCCTATAGATCCCGCAATGATTTAGCCGTTGAAGTTTTCTGAAGGCATTTTTCAAATTGCTCTGCTTCTATATATTATAAAAGTACAATGACTTTTGTTGGGATTATAACTCAGCATGATCGGATATCTATATTGACTCCTATGACGCTGGCTGTACCCGATGTGTATAACATAGGATGTCAGCCGGTTATGTGTTATGTAGAGATTTCACCGTTGTTAAATAAGCGGCGTACTGGGACATTTAGTAGGCCTACAATAGAGGAGAAATTGAATACATTCGATATGTCATTGAAACACCATTATAGGCCTACCCTTTGAAGCAAACGTGGGTCACTTTTCTTGATGATTTTAAATATCTCATTTATTTAGCACATTTTGCGAAAGTGTTTGTGGCCTTTAGCCATTGGCTTGTAAACTGTATAATGTTTTTGTTTTTATTGTTAAAAAAGGCCGAAACTGTTGCAAATCTAAAGGTGTCAAAAAATACCCTTTCAGGAACCGAACCATGTCCACCTAAACACAACATGCATTTTGTTCTTTACTTCAGGGACATCTTGCAGTTATAGGGGACAAGGAAAAGAATGAAGCAATTGTCTTGGAAGTAGGAGAAAAGCCAACAATAAGATTAAAACAATGAGTTGTTATAAATAACCACTTGTAATTGAAGGCAGATCGTAAATACGAAGCAAGGAGAGTTAACCCAGACATGACAATGAACTGAAAGACTCAATTTTCTTATTTGCAGTATTCGTTACGATTTATGGCGGTGCACGTATCGCGGTCAGGACTTTAGAGTAAACATCAGTCTTAGGAGGAGGACCTCCACACGTCGGCACTGAACCTCAAAATTACCGGAAAGAAACTTTTCCCCACTACTCATTGGATCCCACACCTCACATTCCGCGGGTTCAAACGTGCAGAACTTAGCGTAAACTGTTTAAACTTGGAGCGGGACCCGGGAAACACGAGCCCGGGTGTTTCTTGGCAAAAGGCCGGCCTAGTACACCCCGTGGAAGAGATGACTCGTAGGGTCGAATGGAATCCGTCACTCGGGCGCAGGTTCTCTTTTGAATGATAAAAATTCCTGAAAATTCTCTTGGGGAGATATAAAACAATTGACTTTAGGTAACTCAGGATATTCACTGGTTTAAATTACAAACAATTCTTGGCAAAACGGTTGTGAATAATGCGATTGTCATGTTGTTTTCGTTATGTGTTGTTCCTTTTCCCCCAACATGTTATTTGTAGTTTTGGTTCTAGGTCACCTTTTTCAATGATTTCCGCATTGGCCTTTTATGGATTATTAAGCAATTCATGTGAAATGAACCAGGAAATTTCCAGAGCTTTTGCTTAATCGGCTATGAGTAATCCTGTCGAATAATTCAGTGTCATAGATTAACTATGTTTGTGATTATCTAGCCCACATTATTACGGAACCGGCAAAGTTATGATTCGACTGATTCCTTGAAACACAATTCCCGTAAAACAAAGTTCACCAGATCATTCTCTTATCAAAATGTTTCTTTTCTGTCCCTTTAATGTTTTGTCTCGATCAAAATATAAGTACACAAGTCATGATTAAAATAATGACGAAAGAAGGGGCGCCTTATTTGTTCCTTAACCTATGTAATTTGCAATAAAAAGGTATATTAGTATGTCTTTACTGCCGTTTTGGTTAATAAGTAAAGTAAAAGTAAAGTCCGATCTTGAGCCAATGATGGCTCACCAGGCCAGCGTTTATCTCCGGTTTCTTTGGCATGAAACGACCGCGGACATGTCTATCCTCCCTGGATGGGTTGCTAATCCATCGCAGGTTACTGCCCAGCTACTCATGGGTGGAGAGGGGCAAGTGGGGGTGAAGTGGCTTGCCCAAGGACACACATATGGCCAGCAGCTGGATTCGAACCCCCCTTACCCTCTGCCTCTGATCACGAGTCACGAACCTAACCACTAGGCCACATTCCCCTAACAAGGATCATGCGTCGTAATGTGATGTTCTGATGCCAACTCCTAAACATCGAATTCGGCTTCGTTTCCGTTGCGGATGAACGAAAGCTGCTTCCCCACGGACAATACACGTTCGCTTGTCCAATAACCGGCAACCTTAATTAAGAAATAAAGTGTGCACATAAATCTTGAGATTGATAAAACTGATAACAATTTCCACAGACTGGGCCTTTTAAATCGCTACTGGTCTCGGGTAAATTCAAAATTTGAGTGCACTGAACTTATAATAATACAGGAAACCCATGGCCGTGGCTTGGTATTACTTTCACTGACACTGGTTGGTAAAACTGTTATTTCCCCTATAAATGCTGTTTCATCATCAAGTCGAAAAAATAACACTTAAACAAATCATTGACCTGTAAGGTGACTGCTCTCAGCTCCGACACGGCGACACCCCTATGTTCCGACACCCCGCACATAAGATTGTGTTACTCCCGGTTAAAGTTGGGTTAGGGTTAGGGTAAGGAATATGAATATGTGCAGTCGGAACATACGGGTGTCGACACATAGGGGCGTTGGAACATAGAGGTGTAAGCGACCTGTAAGCCCTAGTTATTTGAACAATTTTGACGTTGGTTGCTGACTTTTGCAGATAAACAAGTAAAATCTGTAGTATTCAATTCAAAACCTAATAAATAATCGTTTATGATGTTATGTTAATATGCTGCAAATGCCTTTTATTATTAAAAAAACAGGCCCTTCATTTAGTTAGCATGATACAGGGAAAGGGAAGTTTTAAAAGTGATTTATTCTGCACGATTGACGACTCTCTATTGACGACTCTCACACTGTAAAAAATGTTGGGTAAAACACTGTTGGGCAATGTAATTTTACCCAACATTGGTTTGAAAATACCTCATTGTGGGTTGATTCGGGTAAAAATTGTCCAACTATTGGGAAGAATTTGCCCAAGAGTTTAACCTGTTGATATGTTATCGACCCATTTTGCCCAACGTTTTAACGGTGCAGTGTCAATGACTGAACTCTAATGAGTTTGCTGTTTGCAAACCGCGCTCGGCTGGT